ACTGAAATATTTTCAACCTTTTGATGATATTCTAATTTACTGGCCAGCACCTGTAGAACTTTATCAGGAGCCGCGTGATTCAGCAGCGTCAAAAAAGGCGCTGGAAGAGGCCAGTTGCAGATAGGGTTGGAGGGCCATGCAGCAACAAAACAGACATTTAAAGTCGACACATGCAGGTATGAGGAGATGAGATGCAGAAGTGAAGCCACGGGAGGGCCCAAATCTGCATTCAGCAGATGGATGCACAGCAACGTAGAGCTTCTGAGAACAAAAAACAGCCCAGAGGTTGTCCTACTCTACAGTTTCTCAATCTTACATACGGTATTTCATGGCAGGACGTATTGGGTCGTCGGTGATAATTCCTCAGCTTGCTGTGAAAGTTTAAGCAGTGATGGTGAATTTCCAGCCACTAAAGGAAAATAAAATAAACGTATTAGCTGAAGGCTTTCAGTGCTGTAAATGCTGGGCTGCATGGTGGCGCAGTGGTCAGCACTGTTGCCTCGCAGCACGAAGGTTGCAGGTTCGAAACTCGGCTGCGGCCTTTCTGCATGGAGTTGCGTGTTCTCCCCATGCATACGTGGGTTTCCTCCGGGTACTCCGGTTTCCCTCACATATCACAACATGCCCTATAGGTTATAAATTGTAAGTCGCTTTGGATAAAAGCATCTGCCAAATAAATAAACATAAACATAAATATTGTTGCCACTGTCAGTTTCCTTCTCTTCTCCCCTTCAATGACATGGACTGGTGTTGTATTTGACGTGGTTGCGAAGGCAGATCTGTTGTTTTTAATACGAGGGACAGCTTGTAAGGATCATGCACACACACACACACACACACACACACACACACACACACACACAATCCAATTCTTTGCACAAAATCCCTCTCACATCAAGTGATTTAAACTGTTTTATATTCAACATTTTCAGTTCCTTTCAGAATGAGCCGTTTCAGCACTCTGCCACTTTAAAGGTGAACTCGACCGTTTTAGCACCCCCTAGTGTTAATTTTTATAACCAAAATCTATCTCCTCACTGTGCGTTTGTCTTTTTAACACCTGAATCTAACAGCTGAAGCATCTCCCAGCTTTCCTTAGTGTCTACATGAGTTCGTCACTAAATTAAACAAATTAGCTGTGTTCATGATCTATGTAGGAAACGTGCTGCAGCCAGACTGCAGTGGCAGGCCCAACAAAGCCTGCCATGGGGTGGAGTTGCAAGTGGGATAATGTGGCCACAGGGGGCGATAGGGGCTGGGTGGCCTTTTAATACCCTGTGAAGGGTAATTTTAGCACAAACTGGCTATGTGGAAAGTATCTCTTTAAGAAAACAAGCTAGAGTTGGCCGAATCCACGTCCACCCCTCACTCAGGCTGCTTTATGCTGAGAAGCTCCAATATAAGGTAGGGACTCAGAGTAGAGCCACTGCTCCTCCAGCAGCAGCTCTCTCTTGCACTTGAGAAGTGGTTCTATTCTAATTTGCCTGTTTGTGACATCACAAATGGAGACTTTTTGAAATGACTTGTTTTAGGCACATCATTATTGAAAACAAACGCTGACAGTAAAGAGGAGGGTGAATATTTTTTGTCATGTTTGGAGTAGATACCCCCCATGGCAGTACAAGAGATGAGTTTTGCATGATATGGTTCCTTTGAAGGCTCCATCGTGATTTGTTGAACAGGAATTTGGAAAATTCATATATACTTGTGTTTTATTTATTTATTTATTTACAATAACTCTGCCCCCATTTGTTTACATGCAAATGGCGGGACTTAAAATGTATTCTGCAGCCAACCACTTGGGGCCCTTTTAACTTCCATGTTTAAATCACTGTTTCTTCTCATACAGATTAGCTAAAATTAAGTGCCATGTCATGTCACAGCTTATGCAAGAAGATGTTTACCACTGAGAATCATGTCACATGATCTGAAGGTATGGCTGCTGGGGGCCATAAGTGACAGCCTAACATGCTGAGAAAGGGGATCCTACGTCCCTGAGTGACGAAACTTTATGTTGGTAGAGTAAAACGGAGCTAACACAACACTAGTTAGTAGTTAGACATTTTCAACAGGTCCAGATGCCTTTTTATAAAAGAAAACATTCATGAACACCTAATGACAGAGATGCCTCTGTGAGATGAGAGTGTGCAGCACTTAAAAGCTGAGTGAGAGCGCGGTTTTCCCACACCGCTCCCTGTTTCCAGATCCGACTCTCGCAGCCGATGGGATTCTCAAAAGCATTTCCCACAAATACAGACAGGAAATCAACAGCTTAGAGCTCCCGCTCTGTTCAAACAGCGGCTGAATTAAAGCGGCGTCCATCAAAACTACCAGAGGCTACAACAACATTCTCAGGATGTGGATCTTTATTAACAAAAGGAACTGTCTGAGTTTAGACTGGACGCTTTACAAAAGAGTTTGAACAATAAAGGAAAGCTCGTTCATGGCTTGCCGACAGGAATTCTTCCTTTTGAATCGGTGAAAACAAGCAAAATGAAAAAAAAACTACTCAGATGCTATGATTTAAAGCTACAGCAGCAAATTTGCAAAACAAGCTAGCTTAAAACAATTATCTTTTTCATTTGTAAAACTGTAAATACATTTGCATGCCTTTATAAGAGCAAGTCACCACAAAATCAACCTTATTTTGCTGATGTAACTCAGTTGTTTGGCACTTTAGTGCATCTTAGTTAAAATTTAAATATTCTGCCTAAAACTGTCCATGTTGCGCCCTCCTCAGGTAAAAACTCTGCACTACATTAGAATTTAGATTTGCCATCGCTATTGGCTAAGACGTACCCTGTGATGTAAGCTGGTACCATATAATGTCACAATGCTGTTGTGTGTTTTGCAAACAGGAAGTGGGAGTGGAGTAAGACTCTGGTAGGGGTGTCTTGCTCGAGCACGAGGAACACGAGAAACTAGAGAAGTACCAGAGCCTCAAAGAAGAACTTGACAAAGCCTGGACAGTGAAGACATCGGTGGTGCTCGTGGTCATCGGGGCAGTAACCCCCCAAACTGGAGGAGTGGCTACAGCAGATCACAAGCAAAGCATCAGACATCTCAGTCCAGAAAAGTGCAGCTGTAGGAGCAGCTCAGATACCGCAGAACCCTCAAGCTCCTGGGCCTCTGGTAGAGGATCCGAGCTTGGAAGGATGAGACCACCCTCGAAGGGTGAGAAGGAAATATATATATATATATATAAAATCCTGGCTGCACTAATAAATTATGTTTATATTGTGGCAAAAATACCACCAGAAATTTAAGAGGATTTTTTTAAAATGTGTGATTATCTTATGTTGTTAAAAGACGCTCACACGTGTCCTCATTGTCAACAAAATCATTTCAGCGTTTTAGCTTTCGAATCAACTTTTTTTATTGGACTGGATGACTTAATCAGTTAAGTAAAAACACAGAAACCCTCTGGAGAAAAAAAAAAAAACCTTTTCAGCTCAAATCCAGAGATAAGCAGCTTTGTGGTTAATCCTAACCAAATGAAGGCCGCAGATTGAGAGACTAAACGTTGTGGGCACGATCGTTTAAAAGAATAAAAGATAAGACACAAGTGGTCTTGGAAACATCACGGTGTGTTTAATTAAAGGGTACATTTAAGTGCAGTTTTATTAAGTAAAAGCATTTTATTCGGAGACAAGTAGCCAGATAAAGATGCTGCAGACAGTGCCGCCGGGCAAAAGTGTCCAGGATCTGAGACATTTTGTTCTCTGCAGTCGGCACGTTTGACTCCAGTCACAACAGTGGACCCGTCCTCCAGCTGAGCATGTGCATACTGCAGTTAAGACCAGGGATGTCCACAATTAAACTTCACAGTGCTCTGGGGTGAACGAAGCTCCTGAGAATACATCATGGTGGTTTTCTGGGACTTGGAAGAGCCTAGATCTCCATTTTGTTATGAATCACAGTAGTGATTCAAATATTCTTACAGATATCACGAGCTTAGAATCGCCTACAGCATTTATGAGATTCATCTTCATCCTCTGTAAAGCCCAGTAAAAACTAGATCCATGCAGCAGCTACAAATTCTCCTATAGACGCGTTTGTTGGAAGAAAGTGAATTAAACTCATCTGATGGGCCTCAGTTTCATTGTCAAACCTGCAGTTTTGGGATTTTGTGCTTGAAAACCTACAAAACCCTTATTTGATTACTCAGGCTTTGTTTTGACTTGTCAGCTGTAAAAAAAAAAAAAAAGGTTTCTCCCTTCCACATTCCCCACCAATGACCTTATCCTTTTGTTTCTGCGCAGGAACAGGCCGACATTTGTGACGCGCCACCGGTTAACCAATGAGCGCTCTCCGTTAAGGGTCGCTGCTTCACGCTAGCATCAGCGTGAGGCTGTTTTACCCAGTGAGACGCCAGAGCAAGCGAACACGGGGCAGGGCTTGGCGTGGGCAGATGGGGACACGTGGCGCCCAACGAGGTTCCGGGCTGTCAAAGGGCATCACATCAGCCTGTGAGCAGGCATGCGCGGTTGGTGAACTCCACGCCCTGCAAAGGAAAAGAGGTAACGTGCAGGAAAGCAGCTGCTGTGCGAACATCACGCGTCTGCTGAAAATACAGATCTGTGTTTTTTTACGGAGGTGATCCAAATAGGGAGGATGTAAGCTGCCCATCCTCAACTCAAGAGTCAGACGTCAACGGGAGACGAGAAGCTGTCTTGGAGCATTACTTCAGCATTCTTTCCTGACACTTACCTAATCGTCTTCAGGGAAACAATGGTGTCCAACTAAGCCATCATGGCATGACATTTGCATTAATGCGATAAGAAAAATGTTTGATAAACTGCCGCCTCATTTGGAGACGTAGCGTGTGCATCAGGCTGACCACGTCCTGTTGCGTGCAAAAGAAAACCACCGATTCTCTGATGCAGGAAATTCAGTAGTTCTGCAGCGGTGCGTGCCAGCCAGCCTCGAAGCGTTTACGCCCACCTCGGGCGGTTTCGACAGATTATTCAAACTCGTGAAAACAGCCACTGTGCACCCCATTCAAAACGTTCACAGCTTTATTAAACCCTTACAAAGTAAAGTGACACAATCATTCATCAACAAAAACAAGACTCGTGAAACTTTGGATCGGCACACACACACGCATTCATAAAGTGAAACGTCAGTAGATTCTGCAAAGTTAAAAGGCTCACTCACTCACTCACTCACTCGCAAGGCTTCCTAGAATTTAGTCAAAACAGTGACATCACGCAACAGTGAGAAAGGCGACGCCCCTTTGCAGATCTACTGTAGTATTTTAAAAGGTTTCGGCAGTTTTGTGCAAAATATTCACAGAATCTCAGACAGATACAGCTCATGTCGACATCAGAGTACAGCTACTGACTGATCTGTTCACAAGGACATTACTTTTGCTCATGAAAATCAGATATCTAGATGTTTTAGGCCGACTTCATCAACTCGTCTGGCGTCACTTCATTGCAAAACAACTCGTTTGCAATCAGCCGTCCCTAAAAAATGTATAAAAGTTCATAAAATTTAACTTTTTCTTCACAGTTAGTTGTTGTTTATTACTTGATGGCATCCTGCAAGCGTGTGCTACTGCAACGACTAATGCTCAGACATCGATTCGGGTTTGATCACCCACCCAAACTCGTCCTCTCTGTGACCCAGAGCCAGCCCCTCCCACAAGCCCCCGAAGGTTCTGGGAACATAAGGTATGGTAAAAAAGACTTAATAGCAGCCCATGATGTCAGAAGGATCCCTGAAACTTAGTGTCCAAGTGTGAATTTGACCAATGAAGGACTTGCGGTCCTGGGGGACATTGCTGCAACTTCACTTTGCTCCTTCGCTCCACTTCTCTTTGGTTCGTCTGCGCTCTCCACAGTCGAGTCTCTTCAGGGTGCAGGCTGGACGTGGACCTTCTCCGTCATCTGTTTGGCGCTGTAGTAGGACAAACTCAGACCCATGATGGCCAGCATCATGGCTATCTGGTTGATGGCGCGGTCCTGCGGCTGCGTCTGCACCTCACCGGCAACCTGCCTCTGCAGAAAGGGAAAATATAACTACATTTAAAAAGGTCACTTCAGATTTTTAAAAAAGATGGACACGGACATTTTCAAAGCATTTCTACCAGAGTTTTAAGGTGCAATATGTAAGAATGAAGCAAAAATGACAGCCTGAGGTCAAATGTGGGTACTGCAGCCTATTTTCCAAACAAGATACTTTCTCCGTAGATTTTAGATGACAAGAGAAGACGAGTCAGACGTAGTAAGTTGATATGTAGATAAATATATTTAACTGTAATGTTGAGTTGTTGGTAACTGAAAAAGTAGCTTGAGACTTTCTTTTAAAGCAGACTGTCTGTCATTAACTCATTAACTGCCATTGAGGACTAAAGTTTAGGGTTAGGGTCAGATTAATAATTAACACGTCTAACATTTGACTTATTAGGACTGTAAAAAGGTATTCTTTCAAATTAGGCCTCATTTTGTTTTTCAGCTATAAGTCAAAATGTAAAGTCCTTAACCCCTTAAATTTCCAGGTTTAATGAACACAATGGGGTTTTGTCCCATGGGCGGGATGCTGGAATACTAAGGGGTTAACTCATTTACAGAGCGTTTTTCACTCTGTGGGCGTCAGGACAAGCCCCCGCACTGTGAGAACAAACATCCCAGCTCTAAAGCCGATCTTCATCTGCGTATGTCATACTTCACGTGACCAGGAAGCAGAAAATCCATGTGGAGATCGTTTTGGGCCGCTGCTGTAAAAAAAGTGAGGCGTGAACCCGAAAAGCTTTTGCCGATCACAATTCGACAACGGATTATGAGAGAACGGATAACGCTCGAAACACGCAGATTCTTTCTGATGTAAGAGGCGAGTCTCCTCTTTGTTTTGGTGTTGACATCATCATAGAGAGCAACGTTCTGTGACTCTTAAAAAAAACAGTGAAAACGCTGAAAAATGCTGGCAGCGAAGGGCTTTTCTGATCAGGAAACGGGCTGGCAGTTAATTAGTTAACACCGTTAGCATTGTTAGCTAAACGTTAGCCTCTAGCCAGCTTCACCCAAAGGCAGACTGGCAATCTGTGAGTTCTGGAACATCCCAGAATATCGGGTTCGCCGTAGGGCTGGTGGATGTCCTCTTCGGGCCACTGTCGGACCACCCCCAACCCACCCGCTGGGACATCCCTGACAGAGGAGAAGCAACAGTCCGACTCTTACCCGCTCGTAGAAATTAATACAATAATAACATATTGCACCTTTAAAACATGGGACAAACGTCATCAGAAGATTTAAGTAGAACAGGGACACAACATTCCCTCATCAGGGTGATGCGTGGAAACAAACCAAGCATCAACCCTGAAACAACGAGGTCACGTCTATAGGTGTCCCTGCCTGCTCTCTGTGACCCTCTTTAGTGCCTGCAGCTCAGATACAAGTCAGCAAATAAAAAGCTCAGACAGACGTTCACAATCGGGCACTGTGTCCACAAGAAATGAGACCAAAATAGCATGTTGGCAAAATACAAATTGTTTCAGTATTTAAATAATTGAAGCAAGCTTTAGTTTGTGCAGGGATGACCTTTGACCTCCACCCAACACAATAGTGGAATATGAAAAACTTATATTATTGTTCTAATGTTCAGTTTTTATACCAAACAAAAGATGAGACCTGCTCGGAGACTACGGGATTATGTTGATGAGAGGGAACAAAAGGAGCAGAGGGGAAATGATTAGTGTCACCCCTAATTATGGAGCCACGAAAGAAGATCTAGGGTCTCAACAGCATGAGCTCCCTTCTCTAAAAGCTGTTCAACCGGGATATAAACCAGGAGCACAAAAGTCCACTGAAACAGAGAAACGTGTTTAAAAAGTATGTTTGTCCTCATGGATAAAAATTACAGCTAATGTCCCAGTTTGAACAGAAATGATGCGTTTTCGTTAAAATACCTGGAGAAGGCGAAAGTATCCGGGCGTCAGTCGTCCTAGTCTGATGATCATGTCTGCTGATGGGATGCAGGTCGGTTTAGCGGGGAGGGAAGCGCTGAGGTCGTCGGCGACCTAATGGAGGAAGAAAATGGTCAAAAGAAAAAGGACTTGATTTCACTTATAATATGAAAGAAATTCAGCATTGCCTTCTCTCGTCGTTTCGGAGTTTGAACCAGATTTGAACCAAATCACCAAAGCCCAAATTTATACTGCGTCATAAACGGACCCAGTGTTGAAAAACTATTACAGAAGGTTAAAAGATGAAAAAGACTGTGCAGTGGTGCTTGATACAGCCGAGTCCGTCATGAGAAAACCATATCAAGGCACGGTTGTTGGTCCACAGTTGCTGGGCCAAGAACAACCAAGGCACTATAATAATATTTTAAATGTAAAATGGGGAATTTTCTTTAAAAAAGACGTGACCTCATCTAAAAAGCCTCCAAACACAATAAAGGACCAAAGGGTTTGTGCATCATGAGCTGAAAACCAGGTGTTTCCTTTAGGATCGGGAAAGTCGTGTTTAACTCAGATGTGATCTTGAAATGGTGAGAAGGGCGACCGAGAACCGAGAAGGGAAAACACATGTGACGCATTAGTGCACCAACATGGTTGGAGGTAAAAAAGAAAAACATGTAAAAGTCAGTTAACCCGAGCTTTAAAAGTGGCTCCTTTTGACCCAAGTCAGTCATGGGAAAAGCCCGGGATTTCTCACCTTTTGCAAAAAAAAAAAAAAAAAGGGAAAACAAACAAGCCAACAAGAAGTGGGACCTTAAACTTCCACGGACACTCCGGAAAAATATCAGCAAAACAAAAAATACCCAAATGATGCCAAACGGGGATGAACCCGAATCAGTGAAAGAGCTCCTTCCTGCAATCCGCCTTTTTATACAGCCTTCCTCGTGCTATCCACACACGCCCACTTCCACACCACGCCCACTTCCACACACACACACACACGCACACGCACGCACGCACACACACGCACACGCACACACACACACACACACACACACACACACACACACACACACACACACACGAGAGCTGTCTTAATGCATTACCCTCAGACCCAATCCTTCCTTCACACGCGTTCCACAAACATCTTCCTTCCAAAACAAGAACTGTCTGATATGATTCGTCCATTTCAGCAACACAACAAACATGAAAACACTTACTGGCAGTTGGCTGTCGGAGCCGGAAGTTCTACCGAGTTAGAAATGGAATTAATCCCTGGAATCTCCATGAAAAACAGCAAAACACTGAAACTTTCTAATTCTCTGTGTTTTTCATCCGATTGCTGGGGGTTATGTGACAACATTTCCATTTGCCTGAGCTCGTAGTTGTGCGGAGCGAAGCTCAGCTTGTGTTTGCAGCCACACAACCTGACATCTCACTCCAGGAGTCCGGATCCTGTTTCTTAAGCTGCGATCAGTGAAAATCGGCCTAAAAAGGTTCGAATGAAGACTTGCCTGATGACCTCTGAACTTTTTTAAAAGTTCACATTAAATTTACTTTCTAGTATAATTATCTGATCGGCTCATGATAACGTGTTCCTTTATGCCATTTTTTTTAAAAAGAGGAAATTAGCATGTTCACATGAATGGTGCCAATAACTTTACATCTGAGTCAGGGGCAGGCAGGGGGTCCTCTTTGTGTTCAGATGACCATGGAAGCTGGAAGGCATTTCCTCATACTGACCACATTAGAAATCCACAAACTACAGGAACTATGAACTAGGGATTAGTTAGTTTCTGCTGTAAACTGGAGCTTATGTTATAATAATCTTTTCTATAATAATCTAAATCTGGGTTATAGATGCAGAAATTAGACAAAACAATAAGATTGATTAAATTCATCCATCATCTCGCTCAGAGAAATGGAAACAACAAAGGCTGTCATGGTCAGTAAGCATTATAGCCTTTTATGCATTAGGGCCTGGAATATTTTCAGAGTACACGCTGTACTTTGAGCTGAACAGCCAATGAAACGCCGTCATCACGCCTTTCTGCCCATCCTAGTCCCACCCCCTAGTGCCACTCTTCTCCTCGGTGAAGCTCCATCTCACTGCAGCGAGTCATGATAAAACCGGAGCCATCTGCATCTGTGGCACAACTAAAATGAAGATTTTCTGATGTTCAGGATGACATCACCGTCGTTAATCTGCCCGTCTCGTCGCAGGGGGGAGCGCTGCACATCCGACTGGGACATGCTCAGGACAAGCCACCATTGTTCACATGTGAGAGCTTGTGTGGCTCTTCAATGACTGAGAAACTCCTCACAGATGTGTCTGGGCGTTTATAGAGAACGGCTAGTTAAAGCTGGCGAGTCACACCCGTTCAACCACAAGCATCTCAGATTTGACCCCTAAAGGCAACACGCTAAATTTCTGAGACAATGGTTAAAGCTGCATTAGCTAATTTTGACAACAAGTTAGCCTAAAACATTTTTCCATGCATCTTAACTTTGTAGCATAGTATAGCTATTATAAAATATTGAGGAGATAAAAAAGCAAAAAAAAAAATTGTGGTACTCTCACATTTGTCCAAAAGCCCCTGCCATCACGTTTTGGACTAAAAGCAGCTGTTGGACCACTTGGTTGTCGGTCTTGCTGCACTTTTGCATTTCCTTGAATCCTCCGTTCATTACGCACTTTCACATTTAGCAACAGAACACCACTGGTGTGAGAGGTTCACGGCTCAATAATATCAGAGTGGGAGAAACAGCCGGCTGCTGCCGCTTCAACTTTAGGACAAACTACCAGAGTACCAAAACGAAAAACACCATTTGAAGTCACGGAAAACGACTGCCAGAGGAAACCGGTAATGCAGGTTTCCAGTTCCGGTGGACACGGTCAGGGGAAGATATCCGAGGGGAGGGGTGAGTGTTCCGTGACCATATTTGCAGGCAGTAGCTAGCTTGTTCTGTCGATTCGCCATTGCAGCTTTAAAGTTTTACCAAACAAGACTTAAGACTGTTATTACAAATCTGTGAAAAGCTAGGTTTTGAAGACAACACGGTCACTGAACACTCACCCCTCCCCTCAGGTATCTTCCCTCACACCAGCAGTGTTCTGTTGCAAAACGCACAAGTGCGTAGTGACTGGAGGACCCAGGGAAGTGCATCGGTTTGGCTAGACGACAACCAGATTATCCAATGGTTGCTAACGGTCTCTGTGTTTCTCCTTCAGCTGTGCGCGGACTGTTTTGCTTCCGTGTGTGTCCCGTTACGGTGGTGAGGGGGGACGTTTCACTTTCCGTGCATCTCCCGTGAGAGCGAGGAAGTGTGTGTGTGTGTGTGTGTGCGTGGTCCTAATGAAGTGAGAGCAGGGGGAGGTTCATATGTGCAGATTGTTTAGCTTCTGTACTGGAAATCTGCATGTAACTTTTATTTTGAAAGTTTCCAGATGTTTTACTCTTCTTTTGTGTGTGACTTCCTGTCTGGCCTGATATGAACGGGAGGTTGATGAGTTTTGGAAGCATAGCGCATAAAAAAATAATAGACCTGGAGCGTAGGCAACACGTCCCTGTGCTTCTGGGACGAATCCAAAAAGCTGCTTTTTACAGCCACTGGAAACGCGCCCGTCCACTATAACAGCAGCTAACTGCTGCGTAGTACGTTTAGCTAACGTTACGTTTTGCTTATGCATCCTGTGGAAAGGCCCCATTCGTGGAAAGCAAGTCAAATTACCTAAATAAGACTCCTTATAGTTTCTTTCTTAAAAACATGGTCTCTGAAATGTCCAAACAGAAAAATAGCACAAACCTTGTGACTGAATAATAATCGTGTAAAATTCCTGCAAAATGCACGTGCCACAACGTTTGGAAATAACAAGCAGGTCATTCATATAAACTGAGATAAGCTCATTTTGGAGAATATTCTTATTCTTATTTTTCATAAGTTAAAATAAGATGAGGTTTGACCAAGTCACTGCTTTGCAAGTCACAAGTCTTTCCAGTCAAGTCTCGAGTCAAGTCCAAGTCAAAGACAACCAAGTCCAAGTCGAGTCCAAAGTCAATGATGTGGAAGTCCAAGTCCTTAACTTTGAATATTCAAGCCATAATCAGGTCATCTGCCCAACTTCAATTTAATGACAACGATAATAAATAAATTCCAGAATTAAAGCTTCATTTATTTGCTCAAACAAGCAGAAAGTACAACTGAAACTGATTATAAACAAAGTGCTGCTTCATTTAGCCATACAAGATTCAGCCCAGAACAAAGAATCATTTATGATTTTTGTCCATGTCCTGCCACTTTTGTGCTCAAGTCAACATCAAGTCAACAGATGCAAGTCGATTCAAGTTGCAAGCCATTGGAGTTTAAGTCTTAGTCAAGACGTAAGCCTTTATAGATTTTATCAAGTTAAGTCAGAAGTCACTAAAATAATGACTCGAGTCCAAGTCATGTGACTCGAGTCCACACCTCTGAAAATTAGACAAAATATCTTGAGCCGGGTTTAGAAAAGTAAGTAACATGGCGAAGATCACAGGTACGAATCTTCAGTTTAGGAGGGATTAAGTTAAACGTGTTAAACACGAGTGTAAATCCAGTTTAAGAGCGAGGAGCTGAACAAAAGGCTGGAGCCACATAAATCCCAATGATAACTACTTTGTTTTAAAAGAAAAACAAAGCTGTGATTTACATTCAAGTCAAAGTTGCAAGGATGAAGTGGGACATTGTTTTCACCGACTCCTGTGGGTACAAAATGTACAGAAAGACATATTATTCATAAAATTGGTCAGAAAAAAAAACCTTTTGGGGAGAAAAGGCACACTTTATTCAATTTGAAGCTTTTTAGATAAATAAAAAGTGACTTAAAATAAACTGAAACAGCATTTAATTTCCTTAATGTAAATTCAGATTGCTAATTTAGGATCAAATTATTTCCAGATGATTCTTAAAAAAAGCAAAAAGTAAAAAAATAATTCTCAATAGCTACAGCATGTATATATTGATGAAGAAAAGTAGGCATATGCAAAAAATGTATATATAAAAAAACAAATGGACAGATAATTTTAATGACACTCAGAAGCATCAGCTTGTGTTGGAAATGTCTTGCATGCTGACATCTGACATCTCTCATCGATTATCTCTCTAAAAAAAAAAAGCTCACTGACCAACTTTTGAAATTCACTTTTTCTCATTTAAATCAGTTGATTTTGTTGCTAAGAAAAGTTTTGGTTCGATATTTTAGTGGCCGGTGTTTATAGACACGTGGTTAAAACTCAGAAGGAAAAGACAAGAATCAGGGTGGCTGTAAGCGCAGAAGTTTGGTTTTAAATAACAATCAGCTTTTCTTTTTTTCCAGTTAGGATGACAAGTCTGACCGCTTACCTGCAGCTGTCTGAGGGGGCAGCTTTGAGGTGGTCCTGCAGCCTTTAGCTCCGCGGTACACGGTGTTCGCTTTAAACGTCAGTTTACGGTCCTGTGCGTGTGTGGCAGGAGGGGAGGAGCGCCACAAGACCTAGCATCTCACAGCTGATTAAAAAAAATACTATTTGCCACGTTCTATATCAAATTATTTCCTAGGGGAAAAGTTAAAAGGCGCTGTTAATTTATTTAGGAAAAACCCCGTATGTGTTTAGACCGACATAACTAATATTAAAAATGAAAAATTACCCATACTTAAATCATACCAAATGTGCAATATTTTTAACATTTACATGAGTTATAATTCTGAATTTAAAAACGACACAAGCCGTTGTCTTGCGAAACAGGCTTTCAAAACTAAAATCTAAGTAATTTAATCTCCCTATAATAGTCTCAGAATCCCTTTGATACGATTTAATTCATTCACGCATGTTTGTTATCCCAGCACAATGATAAGGGATCCATGGTTTAACAGTACATCAGCTTTTATTTTGGTAGGCTACTTCCTCGTCGCGGAAGTCTGGGTTAGCTTTAGTTCAGTCTGAAAAGCCTAGTTAACTAGACTAAACCTCATCAGTAGGTTTTATTTTAGAAACTCTAAAAACAAGTATTAAGTATAAGTTTATTAGGCTATAACTCACTAAATAGCTTTCATTTATAATTCCAAGCTTTGAGTTAATAAAAACTAAGTCTCATTACGCTTCTAGGCATTGATGTTCCTATAGGACGGTGAGACACTGCCACCTGCTGGTGCAACAACAGAATGACAAGTTACACTGAATCACAACCACTTTTAGATGTTTTGTGTTGATTATAAAATCCAACATAAAAGACATTCTTAGGCAGCAGAAATCAGACATTTTGAATGTTTTTATTCAAGAACATTTAGATAAACCACTGAAGTCAGAAAACCTTTTCTTACAGTAACATAAGTTAACAGAACTTTTTATCAGATGACCAGATTTACGTCATACACTTTTCTTGGGATCTACCAAACGTTTGACCTAATTGTACTAATAGGCTGTGGCCTCATAACTGACTAAATCACATCAAAATAGTTTAAATGATTTGGTAAGCAGTTGTTTTAATTAGTTAAACATCAAAATACAAGGAGGCGAACAGCAAAGTTCAAACTCCTGCAAATTTACTGTTTTAGCTGCCTCATGTTTAAAATGAGATTTATGATCCAACTTGTAAATGTTTATTCCTCAGCAGTTAAAAAAGATGAAAAATAAAAACAAAAACAGATCAGACAAACTAAGAATGCCACGTCTACAAGATATGGACGGTAATAGTTTTGCCGTTGATATAAATCGGATATGAATGTGAAAACAAAGTCTTGTTACATCAAGTGCAAGCCCAAAACAAACCTATAAATGACAGTTGTAATATAAAACTTGGTAAAAAATACTTATTTAAAACTGTACAATCACCAAGTACACTGAGTGAGCACATCAACCACGATTTATTTGGCTTCGGTGGCCTCAGCCTTCGGCTCCTGAGGGAAGAGAAAAACAAGATTAAACAGACTTTACAAGAAAAAAAAAGAAAAAACCTCAACTTTTGGACCTGAAATCACATTAAAAAAGTAGAGGTGACAATTCAAACTTGTTTGGAAGGAATAACAATTAATTCTCATAATATACACATACCTCGGCCTTGGTGCTGCCATTCTCAGCTGGCTTGGCTTTCTTTGTTTTCGGTGCCTTCTGCAAAATTAAAAACAGTCAGGATTTTCATAGACAGCGTAGTTATTACACAATAAAATAACAAGCAGTTTACCTTTAGGGCCGCCTTTTTCTTCGTCTCCACTGCAGCAGCTTTAGGTTTCTGCAACAACATTAATATAATTTTAAATGTGCACTTGGTACTTAACGTGGAAATTTTTCCTTTTAATTATTATACAATGTGAAACTACACAGTTGAGCATAACTTACCAGTGCCAGGCGCGGGGAGGTTCGTCTTTGCTGAAGCAAAAATTAAAAGAACAACTTATAAAAAAAAAACATCAAACACAAAAACACGACAAACTTTTGAAATAGTACAAAATAATAAACATCAACATGGTATTGTTACACACCTCAGGAGGGACGGTTTGCTGTAAGAAACAAAAAAAAAAAAAAAGAAAATAATGAAAACCTGAACACAGTCAAATGTTTAAATTTAATGTGTGAAGTAAATTTCAACAATAATAAAAAAAATAAAAAGGCACCCTAAATGCGGAATTATGAACTTGTAAAATTAAGCGGAACTTGAAGTTCACAAAGAGCTTCCCGCGCATATTTGAATTCAAATTCGGTCCGTCCCGTTACCATGACACCGCTTTGGCGCCTTGACAGATTCCTTTGTTTTGTATCACTGCGCGCCTTCAGACAGCTGTGGGGGGAAACTGATAAGATTACTACTTTCTTTAGTTTCGCCAAAATTGCAAAAAGCCCGCGAAATTAGTTTATAAGTATATAACAATTAATTTTTGGTTGATACATTTAAAAAACGCCTCTTTATCAAATTGAATAAGTCATTACGTCAACACAAATAACTAATAAATATCAAGATTAAGCATTTATTTAGACAACAAACCATGATAAATATGGAACTGTGCTTCTGCATTTGTAAAAATACAATGCATTGACATGAACAAATGGCGCGAAAAATACACATATACCAAAATTTGATGAAAAATCAAATACAAATTAAGCGGTTTCAAGTCCGTGTGCAACTACTTATTTTTCCTATTTCAAAACTGTGAAAAAATAATCTCGACAACATCCCCTCCCCCCACTCCCTTCCGTACATTTTCAGTCTGGGCTTAGACGCAGTTTAAATTTAAAATAGCCTCCCACAAATCAGTTTTACTAGTTTAAAACCGGCGTTTCCTTTTTTATTTTTTCATTGATACGGAATTAAGACTTTTCTAACCACCATGAGAAGTTGTTTGTTTGGTGCAACCTGTCAAGATTCTGCCCTGCCTACTGTCGAGTAAAAAGACAGAGACGATGACAGAAAGCCACCACGGCAAAATCTTTACATATTTGTTCAGTTAGAGCCACGAATCGATGAAAAGTCGACAAAGTTCACGATAATTAATGTTTTAAATTAGACAGTAGATGCATGCAGCGGTTAGCAAGTACGAGATCTGTAATTTTCGACGACGAAGAGGATGCTTGAACAGGTCTCTGCTGCCCAGCCGCCATTGCTCTAACGTTTGTAAGGGATGATGACGTTCCTCTGATGCAGGAAAAATAAACGCAGCCGAGTGTTAACCTCAAGCAACCACAGTAAACCTCGTAAAAATGATCAAAAAATAAAGATTAAAATAGCCTACCTTTGCTTTTCCCATGTTATTGGCTGGAAGTAAAAAGAACGCTCAAAAAATATAGTTGCAAAAGGAGTTTTTTTCCGGAGAGACAGCAGCCGTCGACCGTGCAGTCGCTGTGGAAAATGGCGAATGTATAATACAAACGAATGTTTTTGTAGTTTATACAGTGAAATATAAGAACGAAACCGGTTTGAACCAGTTTAGCATTTCCACGTTTGTCATTGGACGGAACTGTAACACGTGGTTTTAAGCGCCGCCTTTGTCGTTAAAGAGGCAGGAAGCGAGTAAATAAATGCTGACCCGTGGCGCGTGGGGGCGCTCTATTATCGGCCTCCGTTTGAATTCTGTAATTTACAAAAAAGGAAACACGATCACAACAGCAGCAGCAGCGAACCAAGCGTCCGCCGATTAATCTTACCGTCAGATATCTAATTACACTTTGTACTCTTGGTGGAATGTAATAGCACTACTAAAATACATATTTTTCTTCAGCTGCTCCAATCATTTACTTACTTATTCACGTTGATGGTAGCCACACGTTACAAGTAAATATTTCTAAAAATGTAATTGTAAAAAAAAAGTTTAAAAACAGCTTTCTGTTCACATAATTTGAAAAACTAATTTAGTAATCTACAATATAAAAATCAGTTATTTGTTTATTGGTATATGAGTATTCAACATATTCTCTATACTAAAGTATATCTCAAGAACAGATGCTCTAAACTTTCAAATGTTTTTTTTTTTGTTTAATGGATGTAGGGTCATTGAAAATTTCACATTTGGCCTAGGAAATTAAAGATTGTAGGTTTTACACAAAATTACGGCATCTAATTTTACAACAGCTATATTGCTAGTGAAGATATTTCTATGTTTTCAATAGCAACATAAATGTTTAATTGCAACAGCTGTAGGGGGTAAAAAGAAGCTGTGTTAGAAGAGTTTTTGATTAAACCTTTAAAAAAAATGTGTGATTTGCTGAAATGAGCCTCTTTGTAACTGACAGAGCCAGACGTTTGTGTGAACCGTTTGAGGAGAACAAAAACAGAATGAGATAAATTATAATCACATTTCATTTGCTCTTTTTAATTTATTCTAGTTGAGAAAGCTGGTCAAAATATAGTCATGTCTTCAAGAAAAACACGCTCAAAACACTTTCAGTGACAAAAATATCCAACAGTACCAAGCTCGATGAAGAACGGACATCTCTAAAACGCAGGATGTGTGACTTCTGCTGAGTTTTCCATCGTCCAATCACAGGCATGCTTGCATTTCACACACTTTTACACGCAGCTATTTAACTACATCTTGACCAGACATAATAGACTTTGTAAATCTACAATCATAAATATCACATTTTTACAGCCCCATAGGGGTCACATTTCTGTTGTTGTTATTATTTTTTTATTTTTTTATAAATCAGCAACAAAGTTAAATCACTGCCAGTAACTGCTTGTTCCTCCCTGTTCCACAGAATTCCTTTTGGGAGGAGGACTGGAGAGGATTTATCCCAACTGCAGTGGAAGATTGGTTCCTCAGGGCTTGTCTAAGTCAAGGCTGTTTCACTGCACAAGTCACTAAAGAAAGAGTTTCTCTTGTGCTTCAGTGCTTGTAAAAAGTCCTGAACTCGTGCTTCACGAGAGGCGATGTAGCGCTGCAGTGCTTCTTGTCTTTTCTGGGCATCGGCTGGCTTCCCGTTCCCTTGATGCTGCGTGAGCTCTGCTATGCAGGCCCGATCTGCCTCGAGTTGTTCCAGTGCTTGTTCTTCTCGATGGAGTTCTCTGGCTTTCTGTAACACATCAAAATAAGGAAAAATTAGACTGACGTCACAAGAAAGAAAATTTATTTATGCTCCTGATCTGTGTAAAAGCCTTGTGGATCACTTCCTGAATGGAAACAATGCTAACAGCTAGCCCAAATGCTTCAAAGTGTATCTATCACAACAGTCAACACATCTTCAGTCTCCATAAATTCATGCAATGTTATTTTATAAACTAAAATGCGGTGCTCTGCTCGTCATCCACTGCACCGGTGCTCGCACAGCTGGAGGACATTCAAATGAAGAAAGCAGGGTAGCTGTGGATCACTTCCTGAGGGATGGATTAAGAGAAAAAACGCTAACTAGCCCAAATGCCTCAAAGTGTAGTTTTTTGATTTTGCACAGATAAAATAAAACTTTATTCATCTGAGTGTTCCAGCTCCCCTACTATTTTATAAACCTGTACAAGCTGTCAGTTTAGCTTGGGGATTAATTGGAAGGCCAATATATCAGGCCAATGTTGACCCTTTTTAGGATTCAACAGTTGGTTTAACTCAGTGTTCAGAGATCTGTTGTTATTAGTGATATTTTATTTTTAGCATGTAGATAAGGAGGAAAACGTCTAGCTATCAGCCGTGAAAATTGGCCCAAAAAATCAACAGCAAATAACGGTGATCGGCTAACTATGACATTTGCATTAGCAACACAATAAAACCTCTTTATTGGTCAATCTCTAGTTTATCCTTTACAGTTCATCCTGCAGCAAAACGTACGGTGGATGCAGGGGTCACCTCCTTTAGAAACGTCTATTTTTCTGCAGAAGTGACCATGTGATGCAACAAAAAGTGCACATCAATGGCTAAAATAGAATTTTTTTCTTTAACATTTTTCAACAGTAAAACCCCCACAGTGAAGACGATGAGTGGCCTCACCTGGATGGATTTGTGATTTAACTGGTACTGGATGATGGCTTCACACAGATTCCAGAACGAGTACTCGGGCCACAGAACCGACTGAAACACCAGACAGGAGTGGGACGTCTGTGGGGGGAGGGATGGACATAAGCTCGGGTTTAGAGCAAAAACTGTAAAAATCTTACACCAACTGTTGTTATATCAATCAAAATAATACATAATGTGTTTTATTAGGTTTCTATCTAGAAAACTTTACATCTGAATCACTTTTTGTGTCTTGTGATCAAATGTTTTCTGTGGAGACGATTCTAGCTCAGGGGTCGCCAACCTTTGTGAAGCTGGGAGCTTCTTCATGGGCATTAAACCACCTAAAGGGCTACTAGAACTAGAATAGATCAGAGTTAAACAAACTTTCCCGTGTAATAAACATATTTTAGTAAGACTTCACAATAAGACTCCCTTAATTAATGTTACTTAGTGCATTAGTAAGCAATAATAATCAAAGGATCCCTTTATTAATGTTCCTGATACTATTTACTATCAAGTGTCCTTAAGGTAATGACAAAGGGCTGGATGTGTGTGTGTCTGCTTAGTAATGCATAACATAATATTAGCATTTAACATTAGTTATTCATTCTTTAATCGTTTGTTAATGCTTAATAATGCTAATAAAGGGACCCTCAATGTTATCCATATTTTAATGTTTTTCTTTTCAAGGAATTTGAAGTTTTAAAATCTATATTATAGCATTTGTGATTAAAAAAGATGGCAGCAACTTTGTTTTTGACTTGTGCATTATTAAGTCCATGGATTTTAATCTCAAATCAAAAAACATCCCATGGTTCTCAGAATAATAAATCTGAAAAATACATATGAGAACTCAAACCTGTGTGTTTCCTGCTTCAGCCCCAGTTTCCATTCCAATTCTCGCGCTGCTCTGGCTGGCTGCATGTTGGAGTAGCTCTGTTAACTACATATAAGTTTAGCCTTTTTTGGACATTTTTTCTTCTAGCATCTTGAGAAAAACTGTATTTTTTTGGCCTTTTACTTTTCTGTTTCTGGTGCTGTGAAGCTTAGAGGATTTTTACTGCTATTTTTTCACTTTTTGAGCATTTGTTGTGACATGTAACCATGGCAACAAGCTGGTTTACAATTGGGAGCAGCTGATTAACATTGAAAAGGCTGAAATAATACCTCAACTGAAGCCACAAATCCCAAATGAGCTAAAACGCAAGAAGCGTGGGTGCAGAGCGGGAGCAAATCGGGGACAGAGAAAGAGGAAATTCAAACCATCTCTTCCATCGATCATAATGGACAATGTGAGATCACTGGCCAACAAGATGGATGAACTCCAAGCCCCATCAAGGACTCAGCTAGAGTATCGGCAGTGCAATGTTATGTGTTTCACTGAGACGTGGCTGCAGGACCATATCCCCGATTCCAGCGTCTCTCTGCCAGGATTCCTGACTGTACGAGTAGACAGAGATCTGAAGGGGAGCGGGAAAAAAAAAGGAGGTGGAATGGCAGTGCTTGTCAACAACAGATGGTGCCATCCAGGTCATGTTTCAGTGAAATGTTGTCTCTGCAGCCCAGATGTTGAACTCTTGGCAGTAAGTTGCCGCCCATATTATTTGCCAAGAGAGTTCACCAGTGTTGTCTTGGCAACCGTTTATATTCCACCTTCAGCCATTGCTGAAAATGCACGTGATGCCATCAGTTCCGTTGTCGCTAAGCTACAAACCCAGCACCCCAATGCATTTGTGGCTATGTCTGGTGATTTTAATCATGCCTCGCTCTCTGCTACACTTCCAACATTTCAACAGTTTGTCAGCTGCTCCACCAGAGAAAACAAGACATTGGATTTGTGTTAGGCAAATGTAAAGAATGCATACATGTCCAAAACAAGACCTCCTCTGGGACATCAGATCACAATCTTGTTTTTCTTTGCTCAAAATAAAAACCACTTGTTCAGAGGCAACCTGTGACAAGAAGAACTGTGAGAAAATGGTCACAGGATGCTGATGAAGTCCTGCAGGGTTGTTTTGAGACCACAGATTGGATGACTCTCTGCCACGGACATGAAGAGGACATCAATGCCATGACTGGATGTGTCACTGACTATATAACCTTCTGTGTGGACAACATCATACCCACCAGAACAGTGAGATGCTTCGCTAATAATACCTGGATCACCAGTGAACTGAAGAATCTGCTAAATGAGAAAAAAAGAGCCTTCAAGGAGGGAGACAGGGACTTATTGAGGAGTATACAGAAGTAACTGAAGATCAAGATCAGAGACAGCAAGGAGGCATACAGGAAGAAGCTGGAGAACAAACTACAGAGGAACAATATCAGAGATGTCTGGTCAGGGATGAAGAAGATCACAGGCGTCAAGCAGAGGAAGCATTGCACAGATGGCAGCCTGGACACAGCCAATGAACTGAACAAGTTCTTCAATACGTTCAGTTCAGGAACAAACCCAGCATCCTCCTCGCCTGTCCCCAGCCAATCAGACATCCCATCCTCTTCTGATCCAACATTTTCCTGTCACACACCAGCTCTATTGTCCTCTAAAGCAGTCATGGACTCTTCTTGTTCTATAAATCTGTCTTCAACCAAGTCAGGAGATGCTGCTGCCCCATTTACCTCCCCCTCCCACCTATCTGTCTCTTGAAGTCAGGTGAAGAGGCAGCTGGAGAGACTGAACAGGAACAAGGCTGCAGGTCCAGATGGTGTCAGCCCCAGAGTACTGAAGGCCTGTGCAGAGCAGCTATGTGGGATTCTGCAGCACCTCTTCAACCTCAGCCTGGCCCAGGAGAAGGTTCCAGTCCTGTGAAAGACATCCTGCCTTGTTCCAGTTCCAAAGAAAACTCGCCCATCAGTCAATGAAGACTACAAACCGGTTGCCCTGACATCCCACATCATGAAGGTCCTGGAGAGACTCCTGTTGGTCCACCCGCTGCAGTTTGCTTATCGCCATGGCCTGATGTACTTTGCCAGAAACTCCAGATGACACAGGTGGGGGCCTCAACTATCGTCTGGATTAAAGACTACCTGACAAACAGATCAAAGTTTGTGAGGCTGAAGAACTGCACATCAAACCACGTGATCAGTAACATTGGAGCACCACAGGGGATTGTACTCTCACCATTCCTTTTCACCCTGTACACCTCAGACTTCTAGTACAAAGTACAGAGACCTGTCATCTACAGAAATACTCAGATGACTCTGCAGTTGTCGGGTGTATCAGAGATGGACAGGAAGCTGAGTACAGAGAGCTGGTGGAGCGCTTTGTGGCATGGTGTGGAAACAATCATCTGATCTTGAACGTGAACAAAACAAAGGAGATGATTTTAGACTTCAGAAGAAACAGGGTGGAGTCAAACACAGTTTCCATCATGGGAGAAGAAGTGGAGGTGGTTGAGGAATACAAATACCTTGGAGTTCACCTGGACAACAGACTGGACTGGAGAAAAAACAGCGAAGCTGTTTACAAGAAGGGACACAGCAGACTGCACTTCTTGAGGACACTTAGGTCCTTCAGTGTCTGTAGCAAGATGCTGCAGATCTTCTACAAGTCTGTTGTTGAGAGTGTAATCTCTTCAGCCATCGTCTGTTGGGGTAGCAGCATCAGAAGCAGGGACCTGAAAAGGCTCAACAGCCTAATAAAAAAGGCTGGTTCTGTTCTGGGGACGACTGTGGAACCACTGGAGGAGATAATGCAAAGAAGGATTCTCCAGAGAACCAAGAAAATTATGGACAACCCTGAGCATTCTCTTCACAAGACTGTCCGACAACAGAAGAGTGTCTTCAGTCAGAGGTTTCTTCAGTTTCGCTGCAACACTGACCGCTACTGGAGATCCTTCCTGCCAACAGCCATTGTAATATACAACAGCTCTTTGATGACTTGATTGTTATTGTTATTCTGAGCTACTACAGCAATCAATTTCCCTCTGGGATTAATAAAGTATTTTTAATTGAATTTAATTCAATTGTTTGACTCTAGAAGGAACAACAATAAAAATATAAAAAAAACAAATCACCAGGACCTTAAATTAAGTTGATAATAGAGAATGAGCTGTCATTTTGTCCAGATTTGTTGAGAAGTCAGTTAAACTTTTATTACTACATTCAGTTTGTTAATAAATCTGTAAATTAGAGAATACTTAATAAATAAAATAATATTTCGACTTGATCCGACTTAAACCGGCTATAGCGAATTTAAAGAACAAGCTAGGTTTTTAACACAAACGCGATCCCGGAACACTCAACCCTCCCCTTGGGTATCTGTCCTGAGACACTTCTGCCGGAAGCGGAAACCCACCATGACCGAGACAAACTCGAGAGAACCACTTTATTCTTCTTTTTTTTATCGCCACAAAATATTTACAGCTATACTATGTTAGAACATATGAAAAATATTATAGGCTAATTTGTTATCTAAATGTCTTATTGCAGCTTTAAAGTTCATGAGACAGAGTTGGGGAGAACTGGCGAGTTTGGGATTAAAGCTCTCAGATTTAATCAAATTTTCTTCTCAGGATTTTCATTTTCTTCACTTTTCATCAAACCAACCAGCTCTTCTTTAGGAATTCAATCTCTGGGGAAAGCGCTTTATTTGTTTTTACTTCGTTTAATCAGTGGCTGCGCAGTGGCACAGTAGTTAGAGCTGCTGCCTTGCAGCAAGAAGGTCCTGGGTTCGCTTCCCAGCCTGGGATCTTTCTGCATGGAGTTTGCATGTTCTCAATGTGCATGCGTGGGTTCTCTCCGGGTGCTCCGGCATCCTCCCACAGTCCAAAAACATGACTGTTAGGTTGATTGGTCTGTCTAAATTGTCCTTAGGTGTGTGTGTGTGTGTGTGTGTGTGTGTGTCTCTGTGTTGCCCTGCGTTGGACTGGCTCTCTGTCCAGGGTGTACCCCGCCTGATTGCCCATTGACCGCTGGAGATAGGCACCAGCCCCCCAGCGACCCTACATGGACAAGCAGGCTCAGACAATGGATGGATGGATGGATGTTTAATCAGTTTATTTTGAAAGGAAAAATGGTTTCAAACGATGCATGAAGCAGAATTAAGGATAGATTTTTTTAGTTTTGGTAAAATAAAACTTGTGTCCAATCCTACTTGAACGAAGCTGCTAAACCTCTGAAGAGTCCCATTACTAGTCAGTCATCCTAAATATGATCTGTTTAGTGAGTTTTCCATACCTGCCACAGAAGGAAGTCGCTGAGGCGGACCTCTCCGGACGTACGGATGAGCAAATCAGGATTGGGGGAGTTGTTGCTGTACAGACACTCGCTTAGCAACGCCTCTGAAACATCGCTGAGCATGACAAAAACACCAGCGGCTTTTAAACGCTCTCAGATTATCTCCCTGCATGACAGACTGACCAGATTAACACGTTGCTTACCTGGCCTTGATCAGACCCTGCTCCACTCCCCAGGCCATTTCCCTCACCGCATTAGTGATTTCATATCTGGACGTGTAGGCGAAGCACACATTGAGAAAACACCTGCAGAGCAAGAATGGGCATCCGTGAGGCGGGTTATGACGTAAAACAAGGCAACGAGGTAGAGAAATGAGGAGTAAACAGACTTGTTGTGGTTCCGGGTCGTCACCACAGCTTTGGCAATGATCTGCTGAAGGTCCAGCGGCAGCATATTCAAGTCTCCCAGCACCCGCACACAAACGCCATGCTTCTCCAGGGCCTCACTGCAACACATTCAAGAAATGAAGTAGAAAATTTTAAGAATGAAGATAATTTACACAAAATCTGATTCATATGTAAGACAATTTACACATCCTAAGTCAAAACAAGCAAGTTTACAACATTTTCTTCCTATATTAAATAGTCATTTCCTGTCATGAGACGAGAGATTCGATTCAACTTGGCTTATTTATATAGCGCCAAGTCACAACAAGAGTCATCTCGAGGCATTTATCAGTGAACCTGCTCATCAGGGAATTGAGTTCAGTCAATTATGACAATTAGTTCAAATTTACCTAAATAAAGAAACCCAGCAGATTAAATCGAGTCACTGACTTGTTGTGTCAGAAACTTTACGGCAATCCTCACACTAAACAAGCATGTAGAGACCGTGATCAGATAGGTTTTATAGCCTTATGTGCGATAATCACAACATTAGGAAATTGCTGCAGTACTTGGTGCAAGAAAAAATAAATGATAAGCCAAAATTAGAATTAAGAAATAAACCCAATGAAGTGACAATAATGTAGGGAGGAAATAATTGAGGACCACGCCATACTCCTTGATCGTCTGGAACGGTGGGTTGGGATCAAGGGGTCTGAGCTGAATTGGTTCCAGTCCTATCTCCATGGAAGGAGGTTCTGCGTGAAACTTGGGGATGCGTCTTCCTCCTGGGAGGATCTTCGCTGGGGGGGTCCCTCAGGGCTCGATCCTCAGCTCACTTCTTTTTGCTATTTATTTGCTCCCCTTTCAGGGAGATGTCCCTCCTTACTTAGCGGCACTCCTGTAGAGAAATTTGCCTTCACGCTCTCTGCACTCTTCTGACCAGGGCCACCTTGTCGTCCCTCACACTAAGTGTCGAACTTGTGGGGACCGGGCTTTCTCGGTTCTAGCCTCATCACTGTAGAACCAGCTGCCACCTGCAATTAGTCTGTCTACCTCTATGCCGGTCTTCAAGAGTCGACTGAATACTCATTTTCTTTCGTTTAGCATTTCCAGAACATGTTTGAAGTCGGCTTGTTTTTATGTTATTTTTTATTCTTGTTTTTAATTGCTGTTTTATCTTTTGTTAATTTGCTTTTATTCATTGTTTTAGTCATCTGTCTTATGCTCTACACTTTATTTTCTGCGCTGTAACTTCTTTTTTCATGATTGTATGTCTTTCAATGATGCGTTCTAGCGCCTTGGGCACCCAAATAGGGTTGTGGAAGGCACTTTATATAAATAAAGTTTTGATTGATTGATAACTGGAGAAGCAGCTACTTTACACAAGTCAGTGTAGGTACTGGTCAGAGCAGGTCAGTTCCAGTGCAAACACAACACAGGGCCAAGTGACTGAAGCAAAGCAACTGGAGTGGGCAGGTCTACGATTAACAATCATGAGTCCGACCGCAGGGGAAGTAACTGTTTTTGTGGCGAGAGGTTCTGGTTCAAATGGATCAGAGCCTCCTGCCAGATGGGAGCGAGTCAAAGGGACTGTGTGTCCAGTGTGAGACAGGTCAGCTGTTATCCGACCTGCACGCCTCAATGTCCTGGAGGTGAACAGGTCCTGCATGGAGGGCAGTTTGCAGCCAATGGCCTTCTCAGCAGAGCAGAACGCACAACATGCTGCAGTCTCTTCATATCCCTGATGGTGGCTCCAGCGTACCACACGGTGATTCAAAAGGTGAGGACGGACTAGATGAATGCGGTGTAGAACTGCCTCATCGTTGAGAGGAAAACTCCCCTTTAACAGGAAGAAACCTCCAACAGAACCCGACTCACTGCAGTTTGAGAAGACAGCAGACAGAATCAGGACATCCTTTATTGTGGTTTTAAACAACAAAAATGGAAGTGCATCCTTGGTTTTGGTGCATCTACAACATCAACAAAGGGATTGTGGTGGTCAACATAAACATCAACAAGACGGAGGGGTATTTTAAAACTGCACCTATTACTGGTTTTTAGGCATATTACTTTGAATTGAAAAGACTTTTTTAGCATTCTAACAGATCATTTCTTTTTGAATAACCTTGAATGAAAGTAAGGTAACAATCACAGAGAGGGTATTTTACAGCTGGATGATAAAACAAAGTAAAAACTGTAGTGATTTATTCTAAAAACACTCAAGAGCTTTAAGAAAAAGATGTAATTAACTTCTGAATCACATCAGAAATCTGGTTGCAGATCTTGAGAGAAGATTTGTTGTAGAGAAATTTGTGTACACATTATATTTAGGTAATTAAGGAAGATAAACATGGCTGCAACTGACTCGTTGAATCCAGAAGACACTTTTTTGTCCCAATGGCAAGATAGTTTGAATAAAATGAAAATATATTGAAAGATGTTGCAAAGAAATCAGTTTTCCTGTCAGAAAATCTAAAGTGATTATCAAGCCCAGGCCAAACTGCGCTTTTCAGCTTGACTGACATGACAATGACTGACATCTGTACACTAGCGAATGTCTAAACTAAAGCCTAATTTATACTTCTCCGTCTGCTTCTGTGCGTAGACACGCAACGCCATTACGCGTCGGCGCAAGGGCTCTCCGACAGGTTTTCAGAGGGTGACAAAGACATACCCAACTTTTCAACTATCTCTCAAACATAGACCGCAAGCTTGTGATTGATCAGGATGTCGCTTCCGTTAACTTTGTCAACATCACCGCCATTGCCCCCTCAAAAAAGATATTTAGCAGCAGACATGGAGCAGATTGAAGAACGCCTCGTGGAAGAAGTCTGAAAATATGAACGTTTATTCACCCGTGACTGATGGAGTACAAAGACACAAAGCAAACATTTTATTCTTGGATGGAAACGTCAAGAAACACGGGTTTAGAGGTGCCGATTGCATGAAGACGTGGAGGAGAATGAGGGACGTTTACATATGTGTTAAAAAGTCTCTGAAATACAATAGAACAATGTAAACACGACTGTAAATACACTATCATGGATCAGATAGGTGACTTAATGGTGGCAGAATACTCCAGAAAAAGCACTACGCCCTCTGTTGCCCTGGCGGGGAATTGCTTTGCAACACTCCCCAGCTGACATAGAAAATGTAAGAGTAAAACATCTCTATCAATGCGTGTGCGTCTCTTCCTCACGGGGAAATATAAATAAGGCTCAATGCGATTGGCCAACACTGAGCGGTGCTCAATTTAAATTACATGAGACTTTATGTAACCAGAGTGGACCTAGCAAACAAACAAACAAAAAAAAACGGACATATTGCCTACATTACATTATTGCCGGAACAGTTTCTTCCCAACAGCTGTCAGACTCCTGAACTGTGCCTCCTGACATATGACCCACGTTAAACTCATGGACTGCTTGTATTAACTACAGCCTGTGTACATACTTATAGTCATAGAATATTCATAACATACTTCATACCGTGTACATTATAACATACGTAATAGATCCATTTCTGTACTATACTTACACATCTATATTATTGCTAATATATATTGTAATACATCTATATCACGGCTAAAGCACTTCTGGATGGATGCAAACTGCATTTCGTTGCCCTGTACCTGTACATGTGCAATGACAATAAAGTTGAATTCTATTCTGTTCTACATTATATCAAAGAACAATGTAAAAAAGAAAAAATTATAATATATATATATATATATATATATATATATATATATATATATATATATATATATATATATTACACACAGTAATTTCTGAAGGGGGCAAACTCATGAATGCTGCTTTAAGATACTTTTAAGTTCAACAACATTAACATCCAATCAGCATCAGTTTAGTAATAAAAAGCAGAAGTGAGGGAAAAATCCTCTGTCACCAACAAGCAGCTGATCCAAATGAAAAATCCCTACTTTGCACTTTTCTGAAGGGTGCTCAAACTGAAACAGCATTCTGGGTTATAAAGAGACACGTGTTTACTCTAACCACACAGCCGGGCTTAAAGTTAGCTTCAAGGAAGCCGTGAATCACGGGATGAATAAAATGGCTGTTGTGCAACAAACAGTAAAGTGGAAAAGTTGAGTCAAACTCACCGTTCCTCCAACAGCCTCTCAAACTTCTGCTTGGCCAGCTCCATCAGCCCATCCACCTCTTCCTTAGTGCGCTTGAAGTTCTCGATGCTGAAGGCATACACCGTCACCTCTGGGATGTTGAGGTGCTTGCACCAACGTAACGTCTGGTGTAAGGAGGAGGGTTAAACATGATGGAATTGATATGCGAGGACATTTGCGTAGTGAGACTAATGAAAATTGACCTCTGCGAGCTTGTTGAATCCTTGCATATGGCCTTCTTGGCGTTCCAGGTTTTTCTTGCGTGCAAAACGTCGATTACCGTCCATGATGAAGGCCACATGTTTAGGCATGGGTCCTGTCTGGGAGAGATGGCATCAAAAGAGATTAGAGTAGAGCTAAACAGGTAAACAATAACTTTCACAACCATAAAAGTGCAAAGAAAACCTAAGCATGTCTGCCTTGACATAATGAGGGAACACTTTTTTTTAAGAGACAAAAAATGAAAAGGTACCAGCTTTTGTTAAAAGTTGGACACCTGTGTCTGTGGAAAGGGCGGTCCGGCCTGGCATCAGTGTCTCATATGACGCTTCCTCTTTCTAGTCGTCTTTGCAAGACACACAGTGCCGGCAAATCGGCGTAATATTACCGCACCGGTGTGTCTGAATAATCTGCTACACCAGATACAACATGTCACCGTATCTTACAGTCCTGAGGTCAAATGGGAAACAGAGCTGGATGAAGAACTTCCAGAGACACGTGGGAACCCATGTTCAAAGACCTTAATACAAGAAATTCACAAGAATGGAAAAGAACCAAATTTGAATCTTTATAAAGATAGATCAGCTGTGGCCACACAAACCCAGATCACACTCATGTCTTTTAGAATAGTAAAAATATTACACCAGATAGTAGGTACCATCAACATGTAAAGACTTGTACCTACGATACATGCATGGAACGGTACATAGAAGGGATCAATAGATTATATATATTATATATACAGATTAAAATCCTGCTTACTGCCGGGATGAAAACCATCACAAAAAATGGCTTGAAGCTGCAAAACAAGCTAGATTTTAAACACAAACACGGAACTCTTACCCCTCCGCCACCCATCATCCCTAGGCCACGTCTGCATGATACTGGAACACACATCGTCACAGTAAACGAGAGAGTGCTGAACACCAGTCACCATTTTCTACATCCAAATGTCTTTCGTTGTCTGTGACTTCAAATGGTGTATTTCTTTTTAGGACTCTGATAGCTTGTCCTAAAGTGGTAGCAGCTGGCCATTTCTCCTTCTCTGGTATTGTTGAGCAGAGAACCTATCACACCAGTGGTGTTCTGTTGCTAAATACATGAGTGTGGTTCTTCTTTCAACACTGGAGAGACACTCAAAGGTTTTGAGCTATTTGAACTTTGGCTACTCGATTTTACTTTAACACAGAAATGCTTCAACAAAACGAGGTTGATTCAATTTTATCCTGGTTTTTATAAAAAAAAAGCTGAGAAAATAGCACAAATAAAGGAATTCATGGCTCTTTGGAAGTTTCCAAAAGAGTCCCTCCACATTGTTGGCATTATCTAATATACCCCTGTGGGGGCAATTCAGCCCCCGTCATCTAGGCAATCCCTGATTGGATTAGTAACCAAATTTCTTTGTGTCCAGCACGACTGTCACGCTGACAGTTAGGGATGTGAATCTTAGAGCAACTCACGATTTGATTCCGATTCTCATTCTTGGGGGTGCCGATTCGATTCAGAATCGATTCTCGATTCTCAATTTAAAATCGATTCACAATCAGTATTAACAAAGAGTGTCAGCTCCAGGATGAACTACTTTGTTGTACAAGTTAGTTAAAGCTATGGGACATTTTTTATTTGACTTTAAACTGGTCTTGCTCCAAAAATGCAAATTTACAATGTAAAATAAAGTGATTCTAAAACTGTAAACAGAAGCAATCTTTTGACCAAAAGGCAACAATTATTTTTGCTTACCTTGTAAAGTATAACAAATCTGTAGTTACCTAACGGTAGCTTTGAAAGTAATACAGTCAAATACTTAAGTATGTGTAGAAACAAGTCACATGAGTAATCCTGAGTACTCATTTATCAACTTAGAAAATAAATATGAGAATATCTCAAATTTCTGAGTATGGAATAAATTACATTCAAGCGCCCTCTTATCAGCAGATTCAAACATAAATCATCTCAATTTATGGGACCTCAAAAGTAAACGGAGTACTGACTCTCCTAACAAAGATAAAAAAAGTGCATCTCAAACCTGTAACATGCCAAATATTTGAGTTCTTAGAATCGATTCTGAATCTTTATAAATAAGAATCCCGATTCAGACTTGAATCGATTTTTTTCAGCACCTCTACTGACGGTATATGAATAGAGAAATATGTAGTGTATGCGCCTGATATTCATATAAGTGACTGCAGAATGAGATCAAGGCAATTCCAGCTATTTTTAATTAATTTATTAAAGGTCAGATTGAACCCTGGAGCAAAGTGACCCAGGACAATTAATACACAAGTAATCCAACAAATGACAACAAAAGTTTTAAGCTTGTTTTGCAGATTTGCAAAGGTAGACGCTTGTACACAGATGCAATGGGAGAAATAATACAGGAAATAAAAGAAATGGAGAAATTAATCTACAAGATTAGATAAAGGAGGACTCATTTGGGGAGAAATGGGAAAAATGCAACACAAGATTGAGCGAATTCTAAGATAAATTAAAAAAACTGTTTTGTTTTTGCTTGCAAACCCTGTTTAGTTATGTTTTTTTTCTATGCTTGTTAAGATTCATTTAAAATAAAATGTTCTAAATGTTTTAACGTTCCAACAACTGATGGTTTGTGTGAAGCAAGACAGGAAATACTTTTCCTAAATCCCACCAAGTGGCTGCAAGTAATCTGGCATAGTTTTGACCATTTCAGACTGTTCAAATAGACCTTTGGGACTGTAATTGCAAAATATTATGTTACAACATGAACAATCTGCAATAAGTAAATGCACAATAATTATGCCACAAGTGTGTGCAACAGCCAAGCCAATAATATGCATGTATAACTATAATAAGATATGCAAATGAATGCTTCAGAGAGGAGTGTTATGTTTAAAAAGGCTAAAACTAGGTGTTATTTTATAAAATTATAACATTATCTTATCAGTTTTCTCCAGATCAATAGAAAGGCATCATTATGTGTGCAAAGCCACATCATGTTCCCACTCTACATTGATTTCATGCCAAGAATGGTTTAAGAGGTCACATGCTTTAGGATTTAAGTCAACTGCACAGCAGTAATACTTCAGAGAATAATAAACTATAAAGAAAATCTTCAATTTTAATTAATACGCTTAAAACGTACCCCAACAATGCCAGTAAGATCCATTATGCCAAACGAGAAGTTATTACAACTCGTTTTTGTTACTCCTGATTTATTTTCCCACACATAATAAAATACTACCTTACAAGTACTTTCCGGATCTCGGTGCTCCTTCTGAGGATTATACACAGTAATACCCGCAGAACAGGGTGGTGATGAGTGGAGTTTGAAGCTGATTGAAATGCTAACAACAGACACACAATAAGAGTCGTTTTAAAATGAACAGAAGCTTATTCTTACCTTTAGGATGTTGGCAGAAATCCTTTCAATCAGATTTAATTCACCTTCTTTTATCCACGACATTTTCCGGTTTCAAACGCTCTGAAATCCTGTAAATTAAACACAGTTTTAAGAAGTGAACCGTATATGATTCACCTTGAGCTGCAGAACTGGTTATTGCCGATTATTTCCATATCGTGTGTTGTATTAAATTTCATCGTGCAGCCAGTGATTGATTTCAACCAGAGAACTGGCTCCAACTGACCTGCTGTGAGGCTGAAAACCAGCACAAGTCTGTACTATATTTATCTAGAAAACACTCACCGTCGGTGGAAAACTGCGTCTTTCATTCAAACCCACGAAGAACGAGTCGTTCTGCCACGGCTACGACGATTTTCCTCACATTTCTTTACACCTTCCAACTCACAGCTCTTTCGATGACGACCACTTCCTGACTGGAGCGAAACAACGCATGCGCACGATGACGACTTCCTGTCAGCCGTTATTAGATTTATAAAACATGGGGACGGACGCGGAATTTGTACAAGATAACAAAATCAAAGAATGAAGATAAGAAGCATAACAAGTATAACGTTGGGTCTTAAACTAAATCAGAAATGGACTGAATGATAGTTTGAGAGTCATAGACCCTCCAAAATGTCCTGTTTTCACTTACAGGCACAGTAGAGCTTCATTTGCATTTATTAAAGGTCACCAGAATTGGCTAAAATTTGCATTGGCACCACTGGTGTCCTGAACTTTTTCAAAAATGAATGCAGCCTTGCTAGTTTAGCAGTTTTAGTTTTACAATCATTCTAATCTGTAGGAGTAGTTTTAGGTAAGAATTAATGTAGATCAGAAATTATTCCCTATACTACTTTCTTTACTCTATGTATAATCTTAGGTCAGTTAGATTAGCAGTCAATTAAATACTGTCCTGCTAATGTAGCATTCTTGCTGCTCATTCATTTTGCTGGGACCCATTGCCAGATTCTACACTGGTGCAGTCAGTGGGTTTTATGTTCTTCTTGGTGCATGACAATTCCTGTCATGCCGTGCAATGTGGTAAACATTTGCACTTTTTCCTGTTAACTGACCCCCATGCACACCTGGCCTAGACACCTGTGGCCTCTAGGATATCATCCATTGCTGCCAGGTTGCATCTCAGACTCAGAGTCAAAGGTCCAGCAAAGTCCAGATCTGGAAAGAAATACCTCACACAATCTGATGCCTTTTTTAGGAATATTCCCAGACATGATCATGTATCAGGTATGTATAAAGGGACCGTACTGAAGGTTAATCAAAATATACAAGCTTGTTACATAATTTTTGCACCTTGATTTTTAAAAATGTTTTTGAAATGTAGTTCCTTGAAGTATTTTTTTGGGTTTTTTTTTCTCTAAAGAAGCAAATAGTACAAATATTTAGTATATATTAGACTATTTTTAGTATTTATTTATTATGATTTTTTTTAAATAAAAGGTGCTGTTAAGATAATGCCAGCATTACACCAACAAACTAAATTAGTACACGTTTCCACTAAACTTTGAGCCTTTTACTTTTTCGAATAGCTGCAGTGTAGTTCCGCTCTCCGCCGCTAGGGTGTGACAGTAACTTCATCAACAGTTCGTTTGCACTTTTTTAAATGGCGGTGAAGAAGTTTTAGATTTTTGGGGGGTGAGGGGCTGGCCTTTTTTGTTCCGCTGGAGAATCCTGCTTGAACCGTGGGCAGGAGCATCACACGGACGACAAATCACAGCACCGCGGACAATCGGCCAAATCACGGAGGAAGCCACGCTGCGCGGTTGGAGAAAAGCGGCTGGAATTAAGACGCTATCTCCCTCCAGCTCCACCGTTAGCAGCTCCGGGGTCAACGGGCAAATCAGCCGTTAGCCTCAAGTCCTCTCCGGGTCTGGGGGGGATCTGGTAAGGGGCAGGGGGCGGGGGTACACCGAGGAGGGTGAAGACTACAGGCCGAGAGGAGGGGGCTGGAAGTCTGAGACGCCTCCAGCCTGAAGGGGCCGGCGGTTTGGCCACAGCACCCCGGAGTAGCTAGCTTGTACAGCGCGGCTAAGTGAATGGGATGGAGCCGGGACCGTCTGGCGCTGGTAGGTGTATTTATTTATTTTTTATAGTAATTTCAAGTGATCACTGCAAACACCCGATTGCAGCTTCACATTTCAGTCGGAAAATCGGAGCGTCAGGGGGAAGTGGAGGAAGCCTTGTAGTCAGCCTCTTCCGTTGCACCGTTCGATGAAAAGGGGCTCTAGCTATCTACATGCCTAACAGTTTATATAAAACAACTATTTTCCTGGTTCATAACCACAGACGAGGCTTATTAGGGTGCTGACAATATCCTCGGCCATGTGCGGGGGCAGTGAGGTCGTGGGAATCTCTGTGAGGAGGGACGAGGTGAAGCCCGCCTTCAAGCCGCAGCAGCAGCTGGCTGCTCCCCGCATGCCCCACACAGCCTCCCTCTCACTGCTGGATCCTCAGCCAGTAGGACCAGCTTGTAACATCAACACGTCACATGCAGCATTAAAGACAGCCCCAGGCTGATCGTGTAAAATTGCACATCCAAGGTCAATAAAGTGTTATATCTGGGTTAGATTTGAGTTTTAGACGAAAAGGAGCAGAAGCCTCCCACTTTAAGTTTTGTCTTTTATCCTGCATGGATGCATTTGATGGCAGCTAAAGATCTATATTTAGATTTTTCTTATTGACATAAGAGTCGTGGAATCGAGCAAATCAGTTCAAAACTGTGTGTGTGCGCGTGTGTGTGTCAGGTCTGAAGTTCACCTTTTAGGGGTAAATATAAACAGTCTTAATCCTAATCTATGTAAAGTGTGATCTGAGCACTTTCTTTATAAAATAAACTAATTGCTTAATTTAACTGTCTGTTCATAACCTCAAAGCAGATTTATGATCACCTTAATGATAGACTTGATATTGAACATTAAAGTTAGGTGATGGGTCTATTTTCAGGGGATTTTCTTTGGGAAGGGGGAAGGGCCCATGGGGGCCCCCTCGTTTTAAACTGCTTTTGTGTTTAAAGTGCTACTATTCAATGCGTTTTTAAAAATCGATCCAACATGTTTGCTTCAGGGTCAACTGCCAAGACGCAAATAATCTGGTCAAAGAAGTGGTGGACTATTAGTTTTTCTTATTAGTTTACTTTATAAAACAAGCGAATTGTTTTTCCAGTACCCCAACGACCAATATTTATCCAATTATTTATTTTTGCACTTTAAAACACCGCAAGTTGGACAAACCACCCTTTACTTTCACCTCATTCCATTATGAGGTCAGATTAAGAAACATCTGTATGTTTTAGATTGTAGAATAAACTGAAAATAAAATATTTAAGTGGAAATCTTTACCAGCTGTCTGAAAACAAACGAAACTAAACCCAATCTAAACCCGTTTTTAAGCAGTTTTTCTTGGAATTGGGTTTAAAGACATGCAGTAGTGAGAGATTTCAAGTTGTGATGCTCCAGTTTTAATTCTTACCGCCTGGGAGAGAACTCCATTGTGTTGGGATATGTGAGAGCGCTGGCTCCACTTCTCACCATCTGCCTTCACTGGCACGAGGGAGAAGCGTGCGTCTTTGTGCGCGAGTGTGCAACAATCACAACACACTGGCGTGTTCGCACTCATGCATCCTCTAGTGTACAGTCGCCACATGTCTTGTATCTGTGTTTATGGACTTTATCAGATGTGTGATTCTACATACAGACTAAAACACGCAGCAGAGCATCTTTTTTTATTAGGTTTCTGACCGTTACTCTTCCTGGAGGTTTAACAGATGTTGAGTTGAGTGATGTGAGATTACATCACCAACTGTTTGAAACAAAACTTTACCAGTTTAGGACTCTCTTAAGTGGCTCTTCCTTCTGGTTTGTGATCGCGCTCAGTGCGGGGCCACACAGGCCAAGGTCTCTCCAGCATGACCACAGTGGCACCCTGCCTCCTCCCATCTACAGCGGCCATGCACCTTCACACCGCTTCACACACACTCGCACAGATCCCCTTATATCCATGACAATACTGTGTTGCCGTGGTGTCTCCATGGTGAGGCTGGGAATGTAGAGGGAGGGGGGGCTCTGGCGTTTGTGTGTATGAGTGCGTTCATCGTAGCAAGGGCACTCCCTCTGTCGTACAGCCGTGTGTTTCTGTGTGTGAGATGGAGGAGCGGGGCAGCTGGGGTCTTTGTTGTGATGGAGGAGGGCTGCTCTCTGGGGACCCCAAGGTTAAGGCAGTGGGCCCCTCTCAGGCAGGAGTCACAGCTAGGCTCACATCCACATCTAGCACCCTGTCTAGGACCCCCCCCCCCCCCCCCTTCATTTTTTGTATCAGACACTCTTTCAAACAAACATTTAGTGTTATTTTTATTATTAAAATGATCGTGTGCACTGAAACTCCCTCTTCAGTTGGATTGCAGGTTCATGTGTACACCTTCTTGGACTTTACCGTGTGTCCATGTCAAAGATCACCTCACTCACACAGTGTCTGTTACATGTAAGCCAGGTTTATTTTTTGAAAGCCTAAACCTCCATAGACACCTGCTGATTCTACTTCATAACAGCCACGTTAGCATCATACAGCAGGCTTTAAAATTTTAACCATATCAGGCTTTTCGTTTCTTCAGCTTGACCCAACACTGTTCCAACATCAATTCGAGTCCTTCGGGCTACCATCTGCTGAGACACTTCTTTAAAAACGTGTCCTGAAGGCGGCTGTTGCCGACGATGGTGAGGAATGTTTGGACCTCTGAAGCTGACCAAACCTTGCTGCTGGATGCTGACGTTTTCTCACGTCCATGTACAACTAATGATAATACAAACAACGTACCTCCAGGGTTTGTTTTGATTCTTGTGAATCATCATCATCATCAAGGCTCCTGCGAAGGGTCGGGTGTAGGGTCGGGTATCGTTTGATTTTGAACGATTCCGATTCTGATTCCAATTCCTCGTTTCGATTCCGGTTCCTGTCGATTCCCGATTCAGATTCTTTCAAGACATGACATGTTTTACATGAGCTAGCTAACCACAGGTCCTGCTTGATGAAATAATCTTAACTTCAACATGAATTTTACTTCTATGAACAATAACATCACCTTCATTTAGAAAAAAACATGTTTTGGAGAAAAAAAGAAAAAGTGTGTTTGTTTCTGACCACAACCAGTCTGGAAGAAGCCTCTAAGATGAGAGGCTAAATGTCTCCGACATATCCAGAAACGTCCAGCTGTTTTCAGCTAAAACTCTCAGGATGATCATGTCCAGGATGACTGAGAACTACTCCTCCATGCTGCAGCAGCATTCAGTCAGAACAGAAAGTGAAGCTGCTGTCAGTAACATGCTGTCAAATAAACAGATTTTAAACATTAAAACTCTCAGCAGAAATGGTTCAAAAAGGAAATTAAAAAGTTCACAACTTTGTGTGTGATTTATTATTATTTTTATTATTATTTATTATCCCTTTTGGCTCCCAGTGGCAGAAGCTGGTGTGGTCCAGCACAGAGAAAGCTGCTCTAGCAGGATGACTTTAATTATTCTACAGGTTATTGTTCAGCCTGCTGACACACACACACACGCACGCACGCACGCACACACACACACACACACACACACACACACACACACACACACACACACACACACACACACACACACACACACACACACACACACACGAGTGTTGGTGAGTGGCTGCGTCTGACTGCTGAAGCTCTGTGTGTGTTTTTATTTCTGCAGTGAGACAAACTCACCTCACACTGTCCAGAGTTTGTTCTTTAAAGCTTCTATTAAATCCACCGTGTTGATGTCTTTTAACAAGTTTCCTCTACAGGAATTAAAGTTTACATTACGGAGTAAAAGTTCGGCAGACGCGAATCAAAATAAAAAACAATTCCGGGAAAAACTTGGTCCCGGTTTCAATCGATGCTCGATGCCCAACCTATCCCTGCCTGACACTCAGGCTTTTCAATTTGTTTAGTCATGTGACAGTAATTGTAATCATCTCAGAAGCATAAATGTGTGTACTTAATAATGTAAATTCAGCTTTAATAATTTTCATTCTATACAAAATCTGCTGATTTTAGGAGCATTAATATCAGTATATCGGTATCAGCAAATATCGATTATCGGCCATAACAGTGATATAGATATCGGATATTGGTATCGGCTTAAAATTTTTATATCAGTGCATCACTGATTTCAGTGCTTGGAAAAACAAGTAGATACCAATCAATCCTGTCAGAGAGAGATGTCATTTATTCTGCTGTTGGAAATCAACCCAAAACATACAACCATTGTCTTTACTTCGTATAACGAACAACCAGAAATCCTGAAAAGGATTTTTGAGGTCCATAGTATTTGTTCCAGTCTACATCCACATAGCTGTTAGTTTGTCTAAATATCTTGTAGAACTATCTGCTAAGTTCCTACAAAAACTTTTTACGAATGTACCTAGAAGAACTTTCCTTTATCCTCACGTTTATGAAATGTTATTATTTTACGATATTATTTTTCTGATGTTTACCTATTTCTGTTTTGAGATCATTATGATTTTATGACTTTGTTTTAGGGCTGGGCAATGAATCGAACATTTATCGTTATCGAAATTTTTTACTCTTGTCGTGATAAATTTTCCCATGTTAATAAATTTGATAATAAAAAAAGGAAAAGATGTGTGTAGGTTCACTAGGTTGGCAACATTCATGTCCCTTTAAGAAGCTGTACCACCGTGAGTCACGAAAAAATGTGACTCAACATAATACGTGTGACAGCCCCATCATGTGGACAACTTTTGCTTCTGCGCATACCTGTAGTTATCGTCCACTTATCGTTATCGAGGTAAAATCCTCAATATATCCTGATATTAATTTTAGGTCATACCGCTCAATCCTAGGGGTGGGCGATATAGCCTAAAATCTATATTGCGATATAATTTGAAAAATGTGCTGTAACGGTATAACTTTGCTATATATGACTTTCTTTTGTATATATGTCAAAAACGACTGTTTCTAAACATACTCACATACCAGATACATTGCAGCTGCAGAATAAACACACTTCAAACAGTATAAAATGCCATTTTAAGAAAATTTATTGTGCAAAAATCAAAGCTTTACGAGTAATATTTAAGATGTGTAACAGATCTTTTTCCTTTAGCAAATGCTTGTAAAATATCCGTCTGCTGGTGTGTAAGACCACCTTTTTTCTTACCGCTCGACTGACCGGGCATTTGTTAAGGACGCAGTTTTTGGCTTTCTTCGTATTCCACAACGTGTTTCGTTTCGAGGTGGTAAAACCTATATTTATGTCGATGGGTAAAAACAAATTAGATGTATTCCCTCTATTCGCTAATACTTTCTTCCGGCATGCTTTGCAGATTATATTGTTCTGCTCCACATCCGACTCCTTAAAGCCAAACCAAGTCCAAATGACAGATGTTGCACCGGTCTTCCTTACGAGAACCTCTTCCTCCTGCACCACAGGCTCCATGCTTTCAGCCTCAACAGACACCGCTTGATGACGTCATCAGCATGCGCTACCGCGATAGGCCGATATAGTCAAAATCTCTACCGTTGGCCAAATTAATATCATTTCTACCGTATACCATTTATACCGCCGGCCCACCCCTACTCAGTCCTACTTTGTTTTATTTGGTTTTGATCTATGTGAAGCACTTTGTGATTCTATGTCTGTGATAAGTGCTATATAAATAAAAATAAATAAATAAAACCCAGTGCTATCATGGAGACAGGGATGAGCACGCTGAATATTTATTCACTTCTGATGTATATTTTTTCTCAGTTTTCTCTTTGTATTGTTACACTACAGTACAGTAATATTTCTATTTGTGAACCGTTTATAAACATTAACCCACCTGCATAAATCGTTTGCACAGCATTGTATGTGACACCAAAAAAATAAATTTAGGTTTTAAATTATTTGATATTGAGCATTTGACAAAACTGGACTTTTTTGGTTTCCTGTGGAGAAAGTACCGTTTGGTAAACAAACCAGCAGCGAGGTCTGTATTTTCAGACATTTATTTGGGAACTGAGAGAAATTTGATCTGTTTTAAAGGTGACTTTTTATTATTAGAAACTATTTAATTAAGAATAGAAATATAATAGACATTTTTCTCAAAGGGCCAAACCTGTTGATCGGTTTATCGGAACTTTAGAAATATGCTCATAAGCCTGAACTTAAGTTTGGGAATCTGCTTGAAAAAGGCTAACTTCATTAATGTATTAATTATTTTCTCCATGTTTTCCTGGTTTTTTGTCTTGTTCTGTCAATTCTCCCATCATTTACCATTAATTCGACCCTTTTTAATCTAAAAATGGGCTTTTCTGCCCTCTTGCCTTGCACACATCTGCTGCTCTTTTGACACTGTTTCCTTCCTTTCCTGTCTACCCTCTCTCTCCCCCTGCCTTCCTTTTCCTGCTGTTGAATCTTGGGCTCACCAATCATATCTGGTGATCCTGTCTGCTCCTCCTTCCTGGCTTATGACCACATTTTTACCCCTCATTGTCATTTTATCTGCTTCGTTAACTTTCCCTACTTTCTACTGTATACACACTTCACCCATTCATTCAACTTTTTACAACGTACCAAAACTCATGCTCCTCATTCCACCCTGTCTGCTTTTACCCTTCCTCTCATTGTTACCTGTCCTTGTGTGTGCAGTGCCCTTGGGGGTCTTCCCCCCGCCCCTGCAGCAGGTGTTCCATGCCCCCCGCCGGCCAGGCATGGGCACCGTGGGCAAGCCCATCAAGCTGCTGGCCAACTACTTTGAAGTGGAAATCCCAAAGATGGACGTCTATCACTACGAGGTGGACATTAAACCTGACAAGTGCCCAAGACGAGTCAACAGGTAATGGCACTTGGGACAATATTCTTCACACTTTCAATAATAAATAATTTCAAAAGAGATTAAAATTAAATCTTTTCAAAACGAGGACCTAATGTGTAGGAGCCAAATATGTTGTTTCCTTTTCTTTGGTCTCGATGTCTTAATTGATATGTGGGCGTGTCATTGTTACTGGTCGGAATAAAGGTAGTGATGTCATTGTTGGTGTCAGGCACTATTCCGGAAGGGCAAACAGGTTTTTGACCGCTGTGGCGTGAAGACGTTTGAATGGGAAAGTTAGCAATTACTCCTATCATTCACCTGGAATGCAATCAACATTAAACAAGCATTATCATAACAATTCCACGCTTAAGGCTGTTTTTTACGTAATTTAATCAGTCAACATCGGATCAACACAGAGCGTCAACCAGGTCCCGGTCTAGCAGCCTCAGGAGTTCGAGTACTGGACTTGACTTCTACATAATGTTTATCTGATCTGCACTGTTCTGTTTTTTACAGCTTATCAAACAGCTTTAACAGCTTGTGCTAGTCTAGGTGTGGCTAAAGACTCTTTTATAGTTATTGTAAACTTTTTTTTTTTTTTTGGTTTTTAAAACCAAATCGCACCTTAAATGAAGTTTTTTAAAACCGACCACAGAACATTAACATGCACCCGAATACAGGAAACCGTATCAGACCAATCAGAGTAAAAAAAACATGACACATTTATCGCTACGGAAATCAGTCAATGAAGCAGTCTGCCACACACCACTGAAGTAGAAGCAAATGCATCCTTTTTCAAATTAAATGACTTACCGTAAGTACATCTATCTGCTCATGTTTCCAAGAAAAGCACAAGTCTAAATTGACCACAGTTGATGCCAAATCCATTTGAAAAAAGCGCCATTCCTGAGCTGACGCCATCTTTGTAGTTTTTGTTTCATCACAGCTCAAGTGCTAGGCCTGCCCAATGCTCTACATAGATTGCTGTGATTGGCTAGACACAACATTGTTCGATCTAGGGCTGCACAAGATATCGCAAATATATTATCGCGATATCAGCATGCACAATACGCATATCGCAAAGCACAGAGAAATATCACAATGAATGGTCAGCTCAAATGTTTGCTACACATAATGCATTCTGTCAATCAAACAGAAGCATGATTTTTTTTTTAACAAATCAAATAGTCTTCACCCATTTGGCCAATTGGGTGGGTTCTCATAGGTTAGAGGCCCGCCCCCGAAGCAGACGACACTTAATTTTGATTGTTAGCAAACAGCTGAGTTAGCTTTGTTCAGCTCTTTCTGCTGATTCTGCTTTTCCCGGGATCCACTGATTGCCTTTTCTTGTTTCTTTTTCCATTTCCTCACGTCTTTTGCTCGTCTCATTTTTATGATTTATTTTTGTCATTTTTGTATTTGTTTGTTTTTGATTATTTTTTTCCTGATTTAAGTTATTATTTATCGCAAGTAATATCGTCATCGCAATATTAATCACTGTTATCGCATATCGCAGGTTTTCCTAATATCGTGCAGCCCTAGTTCGATCCAGTGGTAGACCTGCTGGGGCCACAACGCATAGACTGACTCGCACAGCAAAGTCTTTAGCTACTGCTGTGGTTGGTCCTAAAGATGGCTTGTGGGCTTTTTTTTAAATTTTTGCTCAAGGTCTGTAAAATTAATGGAGTTGTAACAGTAGAGAGGATTTTCTCATCTTTAAAAATGCACACATCGGTGTCGATGACTTTTTAAAAACAAAAATGTTTTTATGCCTCAGAAAACCGACAAACCGATTCTAAAACTTACACGTCTGATTTAAATCTGTTCTAAACTTCTGAGGTTTTTAGGGCTTCAGTCCAGTTTGAATATGAAACACAAAAGGTTCAAGAAGCCATGCAAAGGTTTCAACCTTTGACCTTTTCTTTTCATAAACCGCTCCTCACGCCCCACATCGATACCAAGACCAAGGCCTTGAACAGTACCTCCCACTGCCACCTGCATCCTCACTCTTTGTCTTTGCCTTGTAGCCGTGAACACGAGGTGTTGCACCCACCGGCTGTACGCCGCATGATCAATACACTTATCATATTAAAAATGGCCTCTCAGTCACAATAAAACCAGAACTATGGGTTTAATTGGTGGAGTGGGATTTCTTTCTGTTCCTGCTGAATAAGCCTTTGTTATGTTTGTGTTTGTTCCTACAGAGAGGTGGTGGAGTACATGGTCCAGCATTTTAAGCCCCAGCTCTTTGGTGACAGGAAGCCGGTGTATGACGGCAAGAAGAACATTTACACGGTGCTAGCGCTTCCTATCGGGAGTGAGAAGGTGCTTGTTCTTGCTCTGTCTTCGTTACATCCTACATAATTGTTAACCATTTTCTCTTAAGGGATCAATAAAGTCTATCTTTAGCTCTGCTTTGATAGGAGTTGGAGAAGTTGTCTTGGGTATGAGAAAAGAACTGAATGGCACATTACATGTATGCTACAGTTGTTGCTGGGCAACGATGGCTTAGGTGGTAGGGGTTTGTCTTAAGAAACTGTGGCTCATTTGTTATAGTCGTGTCCTCGGGTGAGACACTTCACCCGCCTTATCTGGTGGTGGTTGGATTGTACTGCAGCCTCGCTTGTGTCATTCTGCCCCAGGACAGCTGTGGCTACAATGTAGCTCATGACCATTAACATTGTCAGCATTTAAAGTGCTTTGGAGTCCTTTGACTTGATTAAAGCCTGATTTATGCTTCTCCATCTGCGTCAGTGCGGAGACACGCAACGCCATTATTCGTCCTTGCGTAGGGCTCCGGCAGGCACGCAAGTGCGTACGGAGTCGAGCCCACTTTTTTAAACATCCGTCGAACGCGACGGATTACGCAAGCTTGTGATTGGTCAGGACGCCGCCGTTGTTTACAGCGCCGCCATTGCAAAGAGAGCCGAGAATAACTAGCGGCAGACACGGAGAAGCTTGAAGGATACCTCGCGAAAAAACTCTAAAAATATGAACGTTTAATTCTCCCGTGACTGGAGGAGTGAAAAGATGCACAGCAAGCGTTTTATTTGTGGACGGTAATGACAGGAAACGTGGGTTTAGAGGTGGGGAGCGCATGAAGAGGTGGACGAGAATGAGAGACAAATATGTCCGTGTTAAAAGTCTCTTATATACACAAAAAACACAATATAAACACACTATCTTGGACCGATACATGACAGGATACCACAGAACAACGCTACGCCCTCTGTTGTCCTGGCGGGCAATTGCATCTCTTCCAGGAGACGGAGAAGCATGAGAGCAAAACGCTTCCGTCAATCCGTGCGTGTCTGTCCCTTGCGGAGCTGACGGAGAAGCATAAACCAGGCTTTAGCTCTATACAAATGCAGAGGGTTCCCACGCGTCCTGAAAACCTAAAAAATGATGGACCAATTTTCCAGTCATGGAAAACACACAGAAAATAGGGGGAAAAGTCATGGATGAATGCAAACATGTTAAACTGTTTATGCATGAATGTCTGTTGCCTTCAACGAGGAACATTGAGCTGTAGCGCTTGCCTGCTTTCATTTCGGCATCTAGCAGCGCCCAACGTGACGCTAACAACCAATAATATATTACATATTCCCTTAGAACAGTTCTGCTTCCCAGTGTTTCCGTCTGTCTTTGTTGTTATTTACTGATCTTTCAGACCCAAGTAAGAATTGATTTCTCCAAAGAAGGGCCACAGCGAGCGACTTTCAGTTCAAGAGTCTTGCTGTTTCTTAGTATATCGAGTGAGAGGTTTTTCTTCCTTTCTCTGTTGGGCGACAGAGAACTGTGGGTGTGTCGTCACTCACGCCTTTGCGTGAAACATATTTGGTTTTAGTAAAGCTATAGCGAACATGACGACAACTTTGAGATAGCGACAAGTAACGGGTAGTCTTACCGGGCCACGTTCCACTCATCAGATGCAATTAATATAAAAGTTCAATAATAGTTTAAATGTTTTAACGTTAGGGACGGATTGCGACATCAGCCCGTAAAATGACGAACTAAAGTAGAGAATAACTTCTGTTTTAGGTGTTGCATTGCAAGTAGAGGAAAGCAGATGGCATTGTGAATGACAATCTTTAACGGTGTAGTTAAAATATCACATCTGCTTCTAAACGTATCCTGATATGATAATATCGGTGTATCACCCAGCCTTAGTTGTGATAACTTGACTCGTACTGTAGCAGCTGAAAATGTCCTGGAAAACCATTTCAAGATAAGGGTGGGACCCCGAGAGCATTTAACTGTCATCTGCTGCCGAGCTTAAATGTCTTCCTCATCTTAAAAGTACTGGCTTGTATAATTGCTATCAAGTTAAAGGCCTAGTCCACACGTAGCCGGGTTTTTTTGAAAACGAATATCCGCCCCTCCAAAAACTTGCATCCACACCACCTCGTTTAAAAAAGAAACTGTCCACACGTACCCAGATAAATACGTTGTTAAGGACATGCCAGACCTGTAGGCAGCAGTACTTCCCCCGTTCTTAACCTCGTCCTTCGTCTGTGGTCTTCCGCAAGGAGCAGTAATTCCGCTTGCAAAAACAAACAAGCAAAAAGCGCTTGGACAATTGATAAAGCGAGCGCAGCTCTGAGGGCATCCATGCTGTCGGCTAGTGTAAACACAGGTCACACACGTGATGTCAGCATTTTTTTGTCACAGAAAGTGACGTTGTGGACCTTAAAACTCCGGTTTTGTCCGTCCACACGCAGACACCCAAAACGGAGAAAACGCAGATCTTCACTTTGGCCGGAGTTTTTAAAAAGATCCGTTTTCGTGTGAAAAAACTCCGTTTTCGTGTGGATGACAGGCCAAAACGTAGAAAAATATCTACGTTTTGGCAGATCCCCGGCTACGTGTGGACAGGGCCAAAGACGTTAGTGTGGATGTGTAGGAGCTGGGAAGGCTAATTTACACTAATAATAGCTAATCTTTCTAAAGAAACCATTCTGCTCCTTATAGTTGTTTTAGATTAGAGGAAAAATCTTCACTCTTTACTGATTAAAAACACAAACAATAAACATGTAAACATGTGTACTCAAAAAAATTATTTGTACTCTGGATACATTTTTTACCCCACTTCTAACGAACAAAAATATATTTCTGCATTATTGTTTTAAAAGGATACTTTGCAACTTTTTCATATTTTTTAAATCATTTTCTTGAGCCAGTTTGTGCTAAAATGAGCCTTTTACTGGGTTAATGAAAAGCCACCCAGCCTCTATCGCCCCCAGTGGCCAGAACATTCCACTTGCAACTTCAGAGTTGCCGGTCTGGTCTGTTGGACTTAGAAAAAAAAGAGCTGACATACCTGGCGCAGCTGTCTGCTTCTAGCATGTTTCCTACGTGTTTAAGACCGTAGACACAGCTGATTTGGTAAATTTAGTGATTAATGCCCCTGTAGACACTAACCCCCAAATTCCACTACCTCCGCTCCGCTCCGGTCCGCCCCCGCCTTCCGCAGCCGCTCGCTTCCGAACTCAATTTTTCTTGGTACCCGCTCTACAACGGCTCCGCTCCGGTGCGGAGACCTGAGGTGGGCAAACAAGCATGCGCGGGATTTTCGAGATCTTGCGATACAGTCCGAGCAATAAACGCGGAAGTTAGATCCAAACACCCGTTGTGTGGGAGAAGCATCGGCATGAACTGTTTAATCTGCCCATCATTTGTGTTGAGAGATCAGCAGTGTTTGGATCAACAAAGTGTGACTACTTTGATAGTAGAAACTGTATTTATGGCTTACTTTTGTGCATTTAAAGTTCAGCCGCCATTGATAGTTGTTAAAAGTTGTTAAACCTGTGCATATGAAACAAAAAACGCCTTTTGTTTATCGATTTATTGTGAAAAACGGAAGTTGTGCTTTCTCCCTTTCCTGTTGGGCGGTTGTGATTTCTGTCCATTTACTGCGGAGGTGCTCCGGCATCCGGCGAAAATAGGATCGATTCTATTTTTGCCGGACGCCGGAACAGAGGGCGGCGCACGGCGCCGCACTGCCGGGGCACGGCCGCAGTAGTGGAATAGCTCTGATTGACTAGAACGGGACCGATTTTGCTCCGGCGTTCGTGTCGGAGCGGAGCAGAGGTAGTGGAATTTGGGGGTAAGGAAGGCTGGGGAGATTTTTCAGCTGTTAGATTAACGCTATGCAAAGAGATAGGGTTTGCTTTCAATTTTACAAACGGACACTAGGGGTGCTAGCAAGCCAAAACTGCCTAGTTCCCCTTTAAAGAGCAAGTTAACAGAAAAAAAATGTCTCTGCTTTAATTTTGAAAATGATCGGTCACTCTTGAGTTCAACATGCAGGCTGAATGGGAAATTTGTTTCCTACACTTATTTCTTGCATTAGTTCCTGATAGAAAATAGACGGAAAAACGCCGTCTTCTGCCACTGTCTCCTCCAGCTGACTCCTATGTTCTTAAACAGGAGTACCGGAGCTTTTTTTCCCCAGACAACAAATCACAAGGCACTCATTCCTACTATAGACCGTTGAGTAAAGTAGACCTTTAAAGACTATCACTGTTGCTCCAAATGCAAGTTTCTCTTCTGTCTGTGTTATAATATTATGAGCTATATACTGATTTGCCTCTTTCCCATTCATTTTCTCTCTCTCTTTCTTTACATTTTATTACAATTTTATTTTCCCACTTTAAACATATTTTTAATCATTTTTTGAATATTTTTTATACAAAATTTTGTTCTTTATTTTTGTTCATGTGAAGCACTTCGTAATTTTTATCTTTCTTTCTTTCTTTCTTTCTTTCTTTCTTTCTTTCTTTCTCTCTTTCTTTCTCTCTTTCTTTCTTTCTTTCTTTCTGATGGGATTAGGCAGCTTTCCATCTGTTAGAGGCAAACATAAATGTTATTTTTCAGTTTTATTCACCATTTCATTATTTTAAAGCCATAGGTAATAAACAAGCATGACGTTTCTGCCTGTTTTAACCTCTACAGCCTTGAATAGAACAACAATCTTTTCATATTTTAATCTTCTTAAGCTATTTGATGTTTAAATTATTTTTATTTTACTACAGGCATTCACTCTCGTGCTTTGAATAAACAGGTAGCAAATGTGTTTTTTTACTCAGCTGTAATGGAAGTGGGTTGAATATAATTGTAGCAGAGAATCTTTTGTAAGAATGAAAATGAAATTGTAGGTGGAGCAGGAACAATGTGAGCCCTTGGATTAGAACTTTCATACATTTATTTGTAAAATGACATTTTTGTCTTGCGTTGGGTCAGAAAGGATCACCATGTACTTGTTCTCTGGTCTACAGGTGGATTTTGAGGTAACTATCCCCGGTGAGGGTAAAGATCGAATCTTCAAGGTGTCCATTCGTTGGCTGGCCAAGGTGTCATGGCGCCTGCTGCAGGAGACGCTGGTCAGTGGGCGGCTGCAGGTCCCCCTCGATTCGGTTCAAGCCCTGGATGTGGCGATGCGTCACTTGGCCTCTATGAGGTACGTCCCGTGCGGCTTAAATGAAACTCAGGGACTGTTGGTGACTAGCGAGACGTAAAAGGTGAGAGAATATGCAGAATTATAGTCAAAATTTAGATTTCTGGCACTTGTGCTGCACAAAAGGTGAACAGGTCACAGTTCACTGTCATCGGCAATGAGATGCTGGCTTTAGGATTACAAACCCAAATATACTCAAGTTCTTATGTTCCAAACCCTGATCTCCTCTGCTTCTGTCAGGTTTAAAAATGTTCTTCACTGAGAAACCATTTCTTTAAATGATCGTTCGCTCTTTTGATGCAGGTTGAACATGAAAATAGTCTCCTACTTCTACTACATCTCCTGCTTTAGCTTCTGATAGAAAATACGGTGAAACTCTAGGATTAGAAAAGCCTGACTGATCTATGTCACACTGTCACTTAACATTCATGGACTCACCCATCTTGAATCATGACGGGGAGTGTCCAGGGAAGGGAAGAGCAGGGAACTTCTCAACTGGTAGAAGCTAACAGTTGGCATTAGCAACTCTACCACACGGCAGAACAAATATAGAGCAAATGGAGTCCATGATAAAGCCACGTTGCTGTTAGCCAATCACAGGTGAGATGTCTAAATACCAGGAAATAGGACTCCAAATCCTGCCATCTGAAGCTCTCCTCTGATCTGGAAATCTTCTAGCTCCTGAAACTGGCGCACCAGAACTTAGAAGGTATTCATTCCTACCAGAGACCACTGCAAATGTATTAAAAATATAAGTGAAGGACCTCTTTAAGCCCCCGACAGGTTGTGACTTTGATCGCCGTATCTTCAGGCGCGAGTCCTGCAACAAAGATGGGAGTTAGCTGACACTTGTGTGAGAAGGGAAGGGTGGAATAGTGAAAACTAGCTTCACGTCTTGAATCGAAGAAGTCCCTTAACACCAGTAATGGTGGCTCTGATTCATGAAAATGCTGAGATCATCCCCTGAATTTGCACCTTGATTAATTCCATTTCTCAACTGGTGTCATGTAGGTACACTCCAGTGGGCCGCTCCTTCTTCTCCCCACCTGAAGGGTACTACCACCCACTGGGTGGAGGCAGGGAGGTGTGGTTTGGCTTCCATCAGTCCGTGCGTCCCGCCATGTGGAAGATGATGCTCAACATCGATGGTGAGTCACTGAAGACGAGCTCATGAGTGTGTGTCACTCGGTGATCCCAGTGGCGTTTTACTGAAACACGAGTAAACAAATGAGCCGTGAGCTCAGTGACGGTAACATTCGTGCTGTCATAAATCTCCTGATTTTGTATTCACTGCCTTTAGGGCTTGGCTCTGGAGTAACTTGCATTAGTGTGGATGTGATTTTGGTTATTCTCTGCTCTCTGTCTCCCCCTAGTGTCGGCCACGGCCTTCTACAAAGCTCAGCCTGTGATTGAGTTCATGTGTGAGGTTTTAGACATCCGCAACATCGACGAGCAGCCCAAGACACTCACAGACTCTCAGAGGGTTCGCTTCACTAAAGAAATTAAAGGTAAACCGATGAGTTGCTTCAGAGCTTTAGCTGAACCCAGATCAGAAAAACTTTTCTAACCCTGATATCACTTACATCTCATTTTCATGCATGCACAAGCTGCAAGCATTTACTTTTAGCTATATGCTTGTGAGTTTTTTTTAATATACTGTATATATGTTATGTTGTAGTTTTCTTTTGTCCATCTTTAGCCGTCTGATGTTCTGTCACACTTACTGTTTACAGGCCTGAAGGTGGAGGTGACACATTGTGGACAAATGAAAAGGAAATATCGTGTATGCAACGTTACTAGACGCCCTGCCAGCCACCAAACGTAAATATAAACACAACTTAGTTTTTTTTCCTGTTTTCGTCCTAGAAAGTGAAGTTAGAGGAGAGGATAAAGAACACAGAATAAAAGAAAAATCTGGTATAACCTTTTGAGGAACGCTCACTTGCTTTTGCATTTGGTTCATTGAATTAAAACTAGAAAGCCTTAATGAGTAACTAGGAAATACAATTTTCAAAGCAAAAGTTTTTTTTTTTAACTTTTAGAAAAAAAAGTTTAAATAAAATATTTTATTTCCACTGTTTCACAACCTAGTTCTTAAATAATAGTTTTGTTTCAAATACTGATCCAATATGTAATGTCGAAAAAAATTTCTCCCACAAGTTAAAGGTGCGGTTCACTGAAAAACTTAAAAAAAAAAAAAAATTCTTATTTCTGATTATAATTGATCACTGTGAGGCTGTCCTACAGCTATCTCTACAACTCTTATCTGCCCCTGGGAGCCCCGTTGCATAGCGTAATTTCAATATGGCGGTGTCCGTGACACGGTTTATATGCAGGTAGCGGCGCTGCGGCTGCTTTATATAGCGACTCGTTGCATTCTCCCTCAACCCAAATCCTCGGATCACGCATTTCAGCTAAAACATTAAATTGCCTTGCGTTGACTATAGAGTTGTGGGTGATGGTCACGCAGATGTGTCATGAGATTTGAAGCGTTGCTGCCTTTCACAGACACTTTTTCTGCACGTGCTGCAAACAGGATAGCCGTCTTCTATCAACTGTCCCTCTGCATTCTTCAGATACCCAAATAATGCCCGTACTTCCGACTTTGTCTTCTTTGAGGGATAATAATTGTCCTCCTGAGCGCTGCCGTCTCCTCCTTTGGCCATTATTTCAGCTTTAGCTTCAAGAAAGTTTTGGTTGTAAACAACAAAGCGCGCATGTGCCGCCGGCAACTTCAGCAGATGATACGGTGGCTGGTAAGGGTCACCGCGCCTACACCGCAGCCACGGTAAACCCACCGAGATAATATATATATTTTTTTAAACAAGACGGTTATTATTATTGTCAACTTTTTTACCGGGGTTTACCGCTACACCGGTTACCGTGACAACCCTACCTATCTCCTGCATTAGCTTTTGATAGAAAATAGATGGTGAAACTCTAGGATGTGAAAACCCTGACAGATCTACGTCACACTGTCACTTAACGTTCATGTATTCACCCGTCCTGACTCACGACGTGGAAGGTTGTTGTTGTTATGGCATCCAGGAAACAGCAGAGAACGTCTCGAGTAGTTGAAGCTATCTGTTAGCATTAGCATCTCCGCCACGCAGCAGAACTCCTTCAGGCTTGTGTTATTTGTAGAGATCAAACATCAACATTACGGAGCAAACAGAGTCCGTGGTAGAGCCGCGTTGTTGTTAGCCAATCAGAGGTGAGATGTCCAAATATCAGAAAGTAATACTCCAAATCCTGCCGTCTGAAGCTCTCCTCTGATCTGGCTCACTTCTAGCTCCTGAAACAAACACACCAGAGCTTTTTGCACCCAGAGTACGACTTACAAGGCATTCATTCCTACTGGACCACTGCAAATGCATTGATTAAATCAGTGAACCACACTTTTAAGGTCTTTGTTATTACAACACAATCGGTTAAGAATTGACTTTTATGCATTAATTGAAATCATAAAATATTTTCAACAACTATTTAAAATATTAGATATAAAGTTTAGATGAAACTCATAAAAACCATCAGATCCGGTAACCGTGGAGATACGTTGCAACACTGGTGTCATGGTAATCATGGAGGTGTTTATTTTCCACCAGGTTTCCCCTCCAGCTTGAAAGTGGGCAGACGGTAGAATGTACTGTGGCCCAGTACTTCAAGCAGAAGTACAACCTGCAGCTGAAATACCCCCACCTGCCTTGTCTACAGGTGGGGCAGGAGCAGAAGCACACCTACCTTCCCCTGGAGGTAAGGACGGACGTTCCTGCTGCAACATGTCCACAGATTTCATGTCAACTCTGATGCCTAAACTGGAGGAAACTTGCGTTTTGACCCCTTTTCAGGTGTGTAATATTGTAGCCGGTCAACGATGCATCAAGAAACTCACCGATAACCAAACCTCCACTATGATTAAAGCCACGGCGCGCTCGGCTCCCGACAGACAAGAGGAGATCAGCAGGCTGGTGAGTTGACACGTCTGACATAACTTAGGACTACATGCGTTGGTGATTTGTAGCAGCAGGACCTGATGCATGTCCTTGGCTCTCCTCAGATGAAGAATGCTAACTTCAATCTGGACCCGTACATCCAGGAGTTTGGGATCAAGGTGAAGGACGACATGGCCGAGGTGACGGGTAGGGTGCTGCCGGCACCGATCCTGCAGTACGGAGGACGGGTAAACACGGCCGGGGGATTGTTTATATGCAGCTGGTGTGATTTTAAACCCAGCAGGTTTTGATTCGCTTGTTCTCCTATGTGGGGGCGTGTCTTTCACAGAACCGGGCCATAGCTACCCCCAACCAGGGAGTGTGGGACATGAGAGGGAAACAGTTTTACAACGGCATCGAGATCAAAGTTTGGGCCATTGCATGCTTTGCCCCTCAGAAGCAGTGCAGAGAGGAGGTGCTCAAGTAAGTCCTGATCAGCAGTGATGGTGACTTATCTTTGCTTTTGAAGTGGATTCAGCTGGGTAGATCCACTTTAACTTGTTGTTTCGTGCTATCCAGTCATTCTGTTCAAACTTCCAAAGAAAGCGTCCTCCTAATGTCTCCATTTCTCATAAACGAAGACAAACCAATTAACCGTAGCCTGCCTTAATTCTGTGGTTTCCACTCAGGAACTTCACAGACCAGCTGCGTAAAATCTCTAAGGATGCTGGGATGCCCATCCAAGGCCAGCCGTGCTTCTGTAAATACGCCCAGGGCGCAGACAGCGTGGAGCCCATGTTCAGACACCTGAAGAACACCTACTCTGGACTCCAGCTCATCATCGTCATCCTGCCGGGGAAAACCCCGGTCTATGGTACGTTAGTTCTTTACATGTAATATTTTAGCAGTTTAGACATGTGATGTTGGCTGCAATGGCAAATTTGGAAAACAAATTAGCTGCAAACACTTTTTCCACCAACATCTTCATGTTAGCCTACAACTTTTGATCAAGATCTTACCGGTCAAACAGGTGAACCTCGCACCCCCGGGCTGAAGCAAAACCATCATCTATTGGTTGATAGGTCAGAAGTACCGCCCCCTGTTCTCACATGTACAGCTTGAACTTTAGGTTACTGTCGTAACCCCGGTTCTCTGAGTAACATGAGTGAGATGTCTCACTATGGGATACGCCCCTCCGCGGATTCCTCAGAAGCACTTATCTCAATACGCCAATCCTGATTGGCCAGTGACCGTGACGTACGCGTCCCCCTGCTACTATAAGTAGCAAGCGTCCCAACGTACGCACTATTCAAGATAAACACCTCTTCTCGCTTCGCCCAGCAAGAAGGGTTGTCTGGTGAGACATCTCACTCATGTTACTCAGAGAACCGGGGTTACGACAGTAACCTAAAGTTCTCTTTCTTAACATTCGTTTCGATGTCTCACTATGGGATATGGAGACTCCCGTATTGCCAGACAGCTTATCCAGCGATCACCAACCTACAGGGATACGTCTTGGCCCGCCAAAGACCCCACACTCAGAATCGTGTGAGTCATTGCAGGGACCGAAACATCAAGCTTATAGAAGCGTGCAAATGCAAGTGGAGAAGCCCAACTTGCTGCAGCACAAATCTCCTGGATTGACAGCCCCCGAAAAAGGGCCCAAGAAGCAGACAGGCCCCTAGTAGAATGGGCCCTGAGCCCAACAGGAGCCTGAATGCCCTGACAGGAGTAAGCCATAGAAATAGCCTCCACAATCCAGTGGGAAAGCCTCTGCTTTGTGACGGGTTTCCCCTTACGAGGCCCACCCCATGACACAAAAAGCTGGTCCCCCCTGCGAAGGTTCTCCGTCCGATTCACATACTCCTTGAGCGTGCAAATCGGACACAGCTTGTGCAACCGCTCCTCCTCAGGAGAGGAGAAGGGTGGCGGGTAGAAAGCTGTGAGGATAATAGGAGAAAAGGAGCCCACCACCTTAGGCACAAAGGCAGGGTTGGGCTTCAGAGACACCTTCATGTCACCGGGTGCAAACTGGGTGCAGGATGGGTGCACAGAGAGAGCCTGTAAGTCACTAACTCGCTTTGCAGATACCAAAGCAAGGAGTAGCACCACCTGAAGAGACAGGATCTTAAGGTCCAGGCCGTCCATAGGTTCAAATGGAGGCCCGGAGAGGGCCGACAGCACCAAGGACAGATCCCATGAGGGGGTCGAGACACAGGGAGAAGCCTGCGCGCGCCCCTCATGAAGCTACACACCAGGGGGTGTTGACCTGCCAGTTTCTTCCCAAAACCCAAGTGTCGGGCGGAAATGGCTGCTAGGTACACTTTAATGGTGGAGAAAGCCTTCTTCCCATCCAACAAGTCTTGCAGGAAAGACAGAATGACGTTCACCGGGCATTGGGAGGGTGAGATCTCCCTGCCCTGACACCAGGCTTCAAACACCCTCCATTTACAGTCATATAGGGACCTAGTGGAGGGGGCCCTAGCATTCTGAATGGTTCGAATGACTGCCTGGGGCAGCTCTGCTGACACTAGCCCGCACCCCTCAGGGGCCAGGCCCACAGGGCCAGCCGTTCTGGATGAGGGTGGAAGATCGAGCTTGGGACATCAGGTCCCTGCGAAGCGGAAGTTTCCAAGGTTGGCCCTCCAGGAGCTGGAAAATGTCCGCCACCCAATGCATGGCTGGCCAGTATGGGGCCACCAGAATGAGAGTGTGGAGCTGGGTTCGTACCCTCAGCAAGGTGGGTGGTATCAGGGCCACTGGGGGAAAAGCGTAAAGCAGTCCCCGTGGCCAGTCGTGCGCCAGCGCGTCCACGCCGAGCGGAGCGTCTCGGTCGCGCAGGGAGAAGAACAGAGGACATTGAGCATTCTCCTTGGAGGCAAAAAGATCCACTACGGCTGTGCCGAACCGGATCCAAATCTGTTCCAACACTGCTGGATGCAGGCTCCAATCCCCGTACAGGGGTGTCCCTCTGGACAACAGATACGCCCCCCGATTCAGAACACCCGGGACATGGGTGGCTCTGATTGAGAGGAGATGCCTGCTGCACCATAGGATCAGTCTGCGTGCCAGCGTGTGTAACCGCATGGAGCGCAGCCCCCCCTGGTGGTTTATATAAGCCACAGTCATGGTGTTGTCTGTTCTCACTAGGACATGATGGCCGGAGAGAAAAGGCAGGAAGCGCCTCAGGGCTAGAAAGACCGCGAGGAGTTCCAGATAATTTATGTGTGTCCCCCAGAGCTCTCTGCTCCACACACCCCTGACAGAGCGACCCTCCAGGAGCCACCCCCCCAACCTGACAGGCTCGCATCTGTCGTGACCACTTTCCTCACGAGAACCAACCCCAAAGGCACCCCCTGTGCCAAAAGGGAGGGGTGACGCCAACAGCGGAGCGCCGCGACGCACGCTGCAGAGACCGTCACCCTGCGCGCGCTGTGGCGCACTGGAGAGAGACCCAGAGAAGCCACCCAGCGTTGAGAATCTCTCATGTGTAGACGGCCGAGTGGTACCACTGAAATAGCCGACGCCATGAGACCCAAAAGCCTGAGGCATAACGCAAACCGCACCGAACTGTGTAGGCAGAAGCGCGCCAGGCAGAACGAGAGCGCGTTAACGCGGTACCGAGAGACGGGCCGTGAACGCCCCTGAGTCCAGATTCAGACCTAGAAAGGTTATTTTCTGGGAGGGGAGTAAAGCGCTTTTCTGCCAGTTTATTCTGAAACCCAGACCACACAAGTGAGGGATCACAACCAGCGTGTTTGACGCTGTCTCCTCTCTGGACCGTGCCAGCAGGAGCCAGTCGTCTAAATACGTGGCCAGCCTAATGCCACTCCCTCTCAGAGGGGCGATCGCCGCCTCCGTACACCTGACAAACACCCTCGGGCTCAGCGAGAGGCCGAATGGGAGCACGGTGTATTCGTAACACACTCCCTGAGAGGCAAACCTCAGAAATTTCCTGTGTGGAGGGTACACGGGAACATGAAAGTATGTGTCCCTTAGGTCGATTGAGGTGAACCAGTTGCTCTGGTGAATCAGACGCAAAAGGGATGAGAGCGTGAGCATTTTGAATCTGTACTTTCTGAGGCATCGGTTCAGGGCCCTCAGATCCAGGATCGGGCGAATCCTGGTCCCTCCCCGCTTCGGGACCAGGAAGTACCTGGGGTAGAAACCGCTCTGAGACCGGTCGGGAGGCACAATGCATATCGCTCCCTTCTCCAGCAGGGAGGAGATTTCTCCCTGAAGGATGTGAGCTGACGACCCCTGGGCGTGGGAGAACACTACGCCGGAGAATCGAGGAGGAACAGAAGCGAATTGGAGCCTGTAACCCCTCGAAATAGTTCTCAGCACCCAACGTGAAGCAGAAACCGCTGTCCATTCCTCCATGTGAGTGGAGAGCGGTGACACAGCCGTGACACACGGAGCAGCAGCTCCCTCCAGAGGTTGTGGGGCAGCGGTGCTCGTGGCAGCCACTGCGCATGCGCGGGGGCTTTGTGCTTTGACGGCCCAGGCTTACGGGGACGACCCGTGGCTGGCGGGCAAGTCCGCCAGGGGTCGCCCCCGCCTGGAACCGCTCATGGGTGACATTTTTATTGATTTTTGCTGCGCCCTTGACATCTTGTCTGGATGCGACAGCGAACCTTTTAATGCTCCTTGAGCGTGACATGTTTGTGAAAAACAATGTGAGTGCTTGTGACGTGTGTTTTGAGCCGGCACCGCCGGCTGCACGTCCTGGCCCCACCCTGGACCGCTTGGGAACTCTGCCGGAGGGGTTCCGTGAGGGGGGGGAGAAAGCACCATGGCAACATCGAACAGGAGGAGCTGGCGAACGGGGAACCGCCAGCTGCAGCGTCAGGAGGGAAGAACTCCGACAGGCTGCCCACTTCTTCCTTCTCACCTGCTGACCGCCGTGCCTGGTGGATTGTCCCGGCGGCGGAGCAGCTTGGTTGCCGGATCCATGAGGCCAAACTGGTTGAGGCTCTGAGCCCGAAGGAGCTGGTTGGACAGCTTGAGGCTTCGGGTGCTTTGAGATCCGGAACTGAGGCTGGGCTCGGGCAGCTGCCTGAGGCAGGTTCGGCCGAGCCGGCAGCGCCGGTGAGGGTTTACGGGGAAGGCAGAGATGAAGGGCTTCATCCTCTTTCTTTTTGGCCGCACACCGTTGCTGCATTGATGCCAGGGCAGAGCCAAAAATGCCTTCAGGCACGATTGGCATGTCCAAAATGTCCTCCTTCTCTCTCTCAGAGAGGTTGGTGAGGTTCAGCCATCGTGCACGTTCTTGAAGCACCATCATGCCCATAGCTTTAGCCGTAGCATGGACCGCGCAGCGCTGCACACGCAGGCAGATGTCGGTCAGTACGGTGATTTCCTCCCACACCTCCGGGTCCGGCTTCGTATTCATGTCCTCACAGAGCTCGACTTGGTACGCCGAGAGCATGGAGGAGACATTCAAAGCTCGGACCGAGATGGCGGCAGCCTTGTACGCCCTCTCGTTCAGCGCCGACTGGAAGCGGTCCGCCTTCGCAGGGAGAGCGGGAGGCCTGGAGGAAGTCGCCAAGAGCCGTGGGTGTAGGTGGGCTGCAACCAGCGGTTCCATCGGCGGCATGCGAAGCATGCCAGCTTTCTCCATCCCTTCGAAGTCCAGCGAGGAGGCTCCTTGGACAGGAGACCTGGAGCTGAATGGGTGTTTGTCCCAGGAGGACCTCACTTCTTGGAGTAGCTCCGGGAAGGCGGGAAGGAGGGGCTTTGCCGCCCTCGTGGCCTGAGGCAGCTTCTTTCCCTCGTAGCGGGATCTGACAGCCTCAGTGACCACGGTGGGCCAAGGGATGTTGAGCCTGGTCGCAGCGCGTCGGCAGACTGACTGCATGTCCAGGTGGGCGGCCGGAAAAGCCGCTCCATCCCTGGGAGAGGACGGAAAGCTAGGCATGGAGGCCTGAGCGATGGGGAGAAAGACGTCGTCCTCCTCGTCCTCCTCTGAAATGAGGAGTTCCGAGGTGTCCTCATCGTCTCCGTAGTCCAACTCCAACACGTCCTCGGCGGGGTGGCTCGGACCGGCCAGTTCGAGCTGTGAGCCCCAGCTGAGTTCGGCACACGGTTCCGGCTCCGGGAGGACATGTTCGCTGGCGTCCCCAGGCGGTGGCCCAGGGGCCGGCAGGCAAGGGTCCTTCCCCGACAGGCTAGCTTGGCGCGCTAGCCGCCGGCGAAGGCTCTTCAGGGTGAAGCAAGCGCAGCTCTCACATGACCCGGGGACTTCCAATGCCAGCTGGGCGTGTTCCAGCCCGAGGCAGCTCGAGCAGACCCTGTGCGGGTCTTCGCTTAAGATTTTGTTCCCACAGGTACAGAGGCGAGCTCCTGCGCCGTCGACTCCTCTGGTGGGAGGAGCGGCTTCCATGTTGGCTAACTGGTGTGTTAGCATAGAACGAACAGATGCACTGGAGTGTGAAGCTGCTCGTTATGCCCCGAGTCTATGGTGAAGGTCAGGACAGAAGGACGGTAAGTTAACGTTCGGCGACGGAGAGAATATTAGAAGGCTCCGTCTGTGAAAAGTTGAGCTAACTTACCTCAGAGATAAGCGACCACCGAAGCGAGAAGAGGTGATTGAATAGTGCGTACGTGGGGACGCTTGCTACTTATAGTAGCAGGGGGACACGTACGTCACGGTCACTGGCCAATCAGGATTGGCGTATTGAGATAAGTGCTTCTGAGGAATCCGCGGAGGGGCGTATCCCATAGTGAGACATCGAAACAAATGTTAAGAAAGAGAACCCATTGTGGTGCAGTATATTGTTGACTGACGCATGAAATAGCTGCAGAAACTCATAAAACAGTGAAATCTTATGCGGACCCCATCATTGGCTGCTACTGCAACCTGAATAAGCTCAATTCTGATTGGTGGATCACTCCGTGCAGTGTCTGTCAGGCCCACAAAATGTCAGCTGAATAAATATCGCCCATCATCATTTTTGGACTGACGAATATTGCTTGGAAGCCTTAATGGACATACAGCTTCTAAATCTTTTATTCTGTTCATAATTGCCCTTTAACCTTATTAAAAAACATTTAGCCACTATTTAGTTTCTTTTTCATGGTGTTTTATGTCATATTTTACACTTTATGTTGCGTTTTGTTATCTAGTCTTTTTTCACATAGAGTGCGTTTACATGCAGCCAGTAATCCTTTAAAAACCCGAATATTCACAATAACCCGGTTCCGCAGGTCCATGTAAACACCGCCAAAAACCCGGATATGCTCATAACCAGGTTTTTAAAAACCCGGTTACTACACCTGGGGTAACCCTTTTCTAACCCGAATGTTTGGTCGTGTAAACGCGTATCGGGATATCCCCATCAAAGCGTGCGTTCTGCACATGCTCTGTTCGCAAGGAATCTTGGTCTTTTGAGTAGCGAGACGTCTTGTATGCGTCAGAACACCGGAAGTAAACAACAAGTTGGGAGCAAAATGGCGAGTCGCGGCACAGCACCACACTTTTGGAGTGACGAGGAAACTAAAGCGCAAACAAACGTGGTCGCTATCTCTTCCGAACTGGGAAACATGTTGTTGTTTTCATGGATACCGGAACAAGAAGAACTGGAAATGACGCATATTGCATCTGGACGTAGTCCATACGTCTTGACGCTACCCCAACGTCTGCATTTAAATCGGGTTATGCAAGTTAGAGGTAACTCTTTCTATTTATGCTTGTAAACGGGTTATTCTGATCAACTCAGAAACCCGAATACCGACCTTAACCCGATCATAACCCGGATATTGGCTGCATGTAAACGTAGTCATAGACTCTCTGGAGAGGTATACTTCCAGGTTGATGTTAGTGGATGAGGCACTAAACGTGGTTCTGACCATCATATCAGAAAAGTTTCCCAAGAAACACAGACCTCAAAAGAATGATACTGGTGATGTAGCATCATGCCTGATTTCCAAACCCTCGTCTCCAGCTGAGGTGAAGCGTGTAGGGGACACTCTCCTCGGCATGGCGACTCAGTGTGTTCAGGTGAAGAACGTGGTGAAGACGTCACCCCAGACGCTCTCCAACCTCTGCCTCAAGATCAACGTGAAGCTGGGAGGCATAAACAACATCCTGGTGCCTCACCAGCGGTACGTTTCTGCTTTCGCTGCAGTTTGTGCCACATTCTGTTTATTAGATGATTAATAACGAACACATCTAACATTTGACTTATTAGGACTGTAAAAAAGTATTCCATCAAATTAGGCCTCATTTGTTTTTCATTTATAAGTAAAAGTGTAAAGTCCTCAAGACCAAGATCACGGACAAATCATTTGTTGTCTTTGAGTTTAGCATGCAGGCTAAATGTGAAAATAGTCTTCTACCCCTTTCCGTCATTAGCCGCAGATAGAAATTAGACAAGGAAACGCTCGGAATAGAAAAGCCAGTTGTTAAAATGCTAAATTGACATTCATGGACTCACCCATCTTGGCTCACGATGGGGAAGGCTGTTGTTGGTTTAGCGTCCAGGAATCAGCAGAGTAAGTCTCGATTTGTGGCAGCTAGTCAGCAACTCTACCACACAGCAGAACTCCTCCAGGCTTGTGTTATTTGTGGAGATAAAACATCAACGTCGCAAAGAAAACAGAACCAGTGGTAGAGTTGTATTGCTATTAGCCAATCAGAGGCGAGATGTCCAAATATCAGGAAATAAGACTCCAAATTCTGCCGTCTTGTGCTCACCTCTCCTCTGCTCACTTCCAGTCCCTGAAACAGGAGCGCCAGAGCGTTTTTTCCCACAGAGATCGACTTACAAGGCATTCGTTTATGCTAGAGCCTACTGCAAATGTGTTGGAAAAAAATGAGTGAACTTGGTCTTTAAAATGAGTTTCTAACCTTCCGAGACCCTTCATCCACATATGAGGACATTGGCTTCTTGCACTATAATATTTTATTCTCTTCAACTAAGATCTTTTTTTTTTACTTAGAGAAACTTAATATTGACTTTTAGTAAATTTTTTTTATTATTTATTAATTTTTTCATTTGTCCATTTTAATTTAATTAATTATTTTTATCACACTAAATACAAATTCAGGTCTTCGGAGGATAAAATATGTACTTTAACATAGTCGGTCATTTAGGCGATCATCCCACCTCAACATTTAAAACGAGCCTTTCCAGCCTTGACAAACACAAATTATTTACATTTTCTCCCCCGTGTGCGCCCCTCAGGTCGGCAGTGTTTCAGCAGCCGGTTATCTTCCTGGGAGCAGATGTTACTCACCCTCCAGCTGGAGACGGCAAGAAGCCCTCCATTACTGCTGTAAGTCTGAAATCACGCCGTCATCATCCAACAAGGCTAATGCACGCTCGTGGAAACCAGGTTTCATCACGAAACGCATGTGGGAGATTCGTTCTGAGCATCAGATCTTTGTTGCTGTTTAATTAAAATGTCTTTTTTTTTTCTTTGCAATTCCCTTGTTACTAAAGGGTATTGCATCATGAAATGTCATTATCCAGCAAAGCTACAGAGTTCTTTTGTGCTGGTCATGTAAAAATAGCACAAACATGTAAATAATGCAAATTATTAGAAGATCTCATTAAAAACGCCGGTTGTGGTTGCTTAGTGACTGGGACAAGGAGCGGCCGCTGCGCGCTGTAATGCAGGTAAGAAACGGCTGCAGCTATAAATAGCACACTTGAGGGAAAAGAGCTCAATCCAAGACACTGATCAGTAGAAAAAGTCAAGTAAAAATTGTTGACATTTGCTGATATTTTTCTATTCATTGTTTCATAGAATTTTAAATGAAAATAATACAGTTTTTATCAGGTTATTTAGTTAAATTATAAGAAGTTGCTGCTGTGTTTTTAAGTTTAAGAGCTTGGAGCTGAAAATGTTTCTCCTGATGTTTGAATTATCTACTAAACACCCAGACTTCGTCTCTTTAGCTTAGCTTAGAAAGACGACTGGAGCCTGTTTGACTCCGTTTGCTTTAGTCCGACGAAGGAACTACGAGAGTAGTAAGGGCGGAGTCGGTTACGGGTCTGAGGAAACAAATAGTTCATCACTGACTCACGTTAAAAAAGGAAATGACGTCATCTCGTTTGTGCTTGACCTCAGCTCAGCTGTGGTTGGACGCGTTGTTGCCTAGCGATCATGACCAATGATTGAGTCAGGCAGGGAGAGGATGGGAGAGGAGAGTGGGTGTGTTTGAATTATCTAGAATACAGCTGGGGTGGGGGGGGGGTGGGGGGGATTTGTCACGGAAAGTTTAACGATGGTCCTCGCTGCTTTTATGAACGCCTGTTGTTCAGATTTACACTGGAAGGGGAAAAAGAAAAGAGTCATGAGACTGGGGAACTGAGCGTTTTTCAGCGTGCGGTTCTGTTGGCTGAGATCCTTCTGAGCTCTTTAGAACTGCTGCGTGGCAAACCCGAGGAACGCAACGCTCCAGCGCTTTCACTCCCTCCCTCTTCCAGGTGGTAGGCAGCATGGACGCCCATCCCAGCAGATACTGTGCCACGGTGCGCGTCCAAAGGCCCCGGCAGGAAATCATCGAGGATTTATCCTACATGGTGCGCGAGCTCCTAATTCAGTTCTACAAGTCGACCCGCTTCAAGCCCACCAGGATCATCTTCTACAGAGATGGCGTTCCCGAGGGACAGCTGCCACAGGTATGCGGCGTCACGTGGACGTTTAGCATTTTTCACCAGTTTGAGCCCCAACTGTGAAACCCTTCTATGTGCAGATCCTCCACTACGAGCTTCTGGCCATCAGGGATGCCTGCATAAAGTTGGAGAAAGACTATCAGCCTGGCATCACCTACATCGTGGTACAGAAACGACACCACACACGCCTCTTCTGTGCTGATAAGTCCGAAAGGGTAAGCTGTCTGGTTTTCTACTTTAAATCATCAGATTTATGTAATTAATGTCATAAAAATGATTGATTACTTTTTTTTTTGCAGATTGGGAAGAGTGGGAACATCCCTGCAGGGACCACAGTGGACACCAGCATCACTCATCCCTTTGAGTTTGACTTCTACCTGTGCAGTCATGCAGGCATACAGGTGTGACTCACACACTTTTACAGTTTATTTCAGGTGTTTCCTTAACAACCCAAACCCTTTTCGTTTCCGCCACCAGGGTACCAGTCGGCCGTCTCACTACTACGTCTTATGGGACGATAATCGCTTCACGGCGGATGAGTTGCAGATTCTAACCTACCAGTTGTGCCACACGTATGTCCGTTGTACCCGCTCAGTTTCCATCCCCGCACCAGCCTACTATGCCCGTCTCGTGGCCTTCCGCGCTCGCTACCACCTGGTAGACAAAGAACACGACAGGTCAGTGTGATTTTTGTAAAAGCAAATCATAAAAATTTGGCATGCAACTACTTTCTACACTTTAGCGTAACTGCTGTGGTCTTTGGGTCTTCTCCCCGTTTTCCCTTTGCAGTGGAGAGGGCAGCCATGTTTCCGGCCAGAGTAACGGCCGGGACCCCCAGGCGCTGGCTAAAGCTGTTCAGATTCACCACGACACTCTGAGGACCATGTACTTCGCCTGAGCATCGCTCCCACCACCTCACTTCTACCTGAGCGGGCCTGAAAGCCTGCTCCCGCCTCATCCCCATCCCCATCCCTGACTCCCACCACACACACACCCTCTGTCGGTCCGTCACTCACTCATCTCCTGTAAACACAGCCAGACTCTGCAGCCTCATGCACTCAAAGTTTAAAATATTTTTATTCTCATGTTTTCATTTTTTTAATTTTTTTATCATGATGGTTGATTTTTTATGTATTTTTTTATTCTTCAAACATGGACATGGTTATGTAATTGTATTGTACGCTACCTTTACACTCCTATCTAAGTAAGTATGCAATACGGATGGGAGGAAAAATAGATGATCGAAAGGGGAAAAAGAAATTCCTAAAACTTTTTTTAACTGCCACCACAATGCTGCCTCTTGTCCCATCCAAAAGCCGGATGCCGGTGTTCCAACCCTTTAGCTTGGCGATCCGCCAGATGGGTGGTACTGAGCACGCACACTTACGTTTATGTTATTTTTTTAATGTTTTCATGAACTACATTCATGTTTTGTGATGCTTTTGTAATAATGTTATTTTCTTAAAACGCCTTGATGAGCCTGAGGGATGGTACAGTAGCACTTAGCGTTAGCATGTAGGTGCCACCGGTCCTGCACATAAAGAATTGTAGTCGTTCGAGGCTAGCCCTCTGGTCGTTATTAGCAGACAGGAGCAGGTGTAGCGATCCTAGGTGCTGTGGCACTCTCAGTCCCGATTGGCCAGTCCCTATAGAGAGCTTAGCATAACAGTAGAGGGACCATTTGCATAGAGTGTATCAAATATACTTGCACCCCATGCACCTAAACCAGCATTATTAACCAGCCAAAAGTGATGCCACCCAGTTTAAATAGGAGGCACTTAAATGGGAAGACTTTGTCTGTATTCACTGCTCTTTAAGGATTTTAGGCACTTTTTTTTTTGTTTACGTATAATTTTACATAAAAAATTATGAACTTTTTTTTTCTGCAAGACTTGAACCACACTAGCTTAGAGTTTCACACCCACACTTGAGTTGCACTCAGAAATAAAGCAATAAGCAAGGTCAGCACTGTTGTGCACACTTGGAAACAGGCGAGTTTGTGATCGCCCGAGTGCTGCGAGGCTGAACCTCCATTCAGCTGGCGACCTTGCTTCGCTCGTCCTGCATATTCCTACTTGTATCAGTGGAGATGACGCCACGCGGTGCATTTTTTCACACTTCCGTTCTCAAAACTTCCTTGCATAACTGCACACACCAAACTACGACCGGTCCTGTTTTTACTCGGCGCTCTTCCTGCTGCAGGCGTTTACAACTCATAGCTTGGGTAATGAAAGCACACGTTGATTTGTTTCTTAACATGCAGAGGTAGAACACGCTCATGCAAACTGTTGCTCTTTGGCCTCGCCACCACGTTCTGTCTTTTGCCATTTGTTTTTCATGTTTTGGCTCCACATGCATTCAGCATCCCCTGTTCCAATCCCCTAATCTGTGTTAGCCAATCCCTATTGGTGCTCTGTGTGCATGGGCGTCATAGACAGGGGATTGCTCATTGGACAGGGTGGGCCTCTGTTACTACATTTCAATATGCCCTGCCTTCACATCAGCTCACTGTCTGGATCTATGAGAAAAAAAAGCATGTAACTATTATTTTAACTGGACTGGATATTCTGAGCCACCTTCTGTTGGTTTTCTTAGAGGTAGGAGCCTTGTGCTCAACACTGCCTGTCAGTTGTTTTGCCTCTGTTGTGTAACAGTTATTGAAACTGATATATTTTTTGTCATTATTATAAATATTGTGACTATTGTCAGTGTATCCTCAAGAGGGCACTGTGGAGATGGTGTCTAAATTCCACCTCAGGTGCCCTTAAAGCGCCTCAAATCTCATCTGATGGGCAGAAGCCCTTAAAGTCTAGGAAGGATCTGATAAAAAAAAGAACACACTAGATCAGATGTTCGATTTTAAAATCATATTTATAAAGTTGCATAATCCGAATGCCTTCGTACACCGGTTTACTGATCCTCCATAGTGTCCAAGGTGATTTGTATATATTAATATATATAATATGTACATGTTCTATATTTTGGCCCGACACATGCTGGGTCTTTCACAGTTGAGGCCAGTGTTTTACTCTGCGTTCTGTACTTAAAGAAGTCTGGGGTACTCCTCCGCACCACTAAAACCAGATGCAGTTCTTCACGTACTGAAGCCACAAAAGCACCTTGCCAAGGGGGACACAAAAATGGTCTCCCTGGAAATGTATCGTGGACAGCGGAGAGTCGAGTCCTCTTCGCACAACCTCACGGTCCGATTAAGCAATATCAAAGCCACTGATCAAGAACAGTCCTCAACATAGCACTTCCCAATAGATATGAATGAAAGGACATGGAAGCATATTACTTAAGTTCTGTGTGTGATAGTGTTGGAACTCTGTCGGGGAGGGTTATTTTTTAATAAAAAAATAAATTGTTTTTTATTACTCCTGCAGGTTCTTTTGACTCTTTTGTTGTTTCATGCTTTATCTTTTTATTATTGTGCATTGATTTATACTGTAAAAAGTTTCTGATGCTTTTTTTTTTTAAATTATGAACTGATGTATTCATTAATGCAGAAAAAACTGTGGCTGAAGGCGGAGTGAGTTGTTCTGACGTCTGCTGGCAGAGCCCACCTCTTCCTGTCGGTGTGAGAAAGGCTACTTCACCATATTTAGCTGGCTTGCCGAAGCCCTGCAGAGTTCTGTCAACTAGCCTGAAAATCTTGACACTTCTCGGAGGAAACAACGCGGAGCTGACAGCGTCGTTTCGGCACCGGGATACAACTTACTGACGACGACGTCGACGGAACACGGCGCCTGAGAACGCGGTCTGTTTTTAACAGCTGTTTTTAACGCGATAAAAGTAGCTATCGCGTGTCATTATTCCAACTATCAGCGCGAGCTAGCCAGCTAGCTTGTTACTTTAGCCGCTCCGACGTTCGCCGTCCCGATAAGTATTTATGCCGCTCCTGCTAATGGTCACCTATCGTTAGAGACTCGTTTGGACTCTGTGACCCTCCCTGCTGTGATGATCTCCTGACAGCTCCTCTCGTCCGTTCTAGACACTTTTCAAAGCCTGGCTAGCAAGCTAACCTAGCAGGTTTTCACTGCCACTGTAGCCTTCTCCGTGGCGGTGAAACCCGATTTCTGACGGCGGTGCGAGGAGACGCCGAGAAAAAAAAACTCTGCTGGTGAAAAGACTCGATTGACAGCACGTTAGGAGGGGGGGACATAAAAAACGTGGACACCCTTGTCGCTGTGCAGAGACAGGCGCTGTCCTCCCCACGGAGGAGACACCGGAGCTAACAGGAGTAACCAGACGTTTGACACCTGTGATCCGGGAAGTGAACCGGGCAGGGACCTCATGAATGGAAATCGGAACTACAGGTAATTTACTCTGCATCGTTATTTTAAATAAAAACTCTTATGGGTAGAATCGAGATCAGACACGATACCATAATTTAACATTTTAGCTGTTAATGTCTTAAAGTTGTGTCCATCCCGATGGTCCATCCTTGTATTTATAACACTGTAAAAAATGTGTGGTTGTCTGAACTAATTCACCAGTTTTATTTTTAATTAAATTGGTAGGTTATTCAACCTTTTGTTTCCATTAACCTGATTTGGATTAACTGCTTTGAGTAATTAATTGGATCTGCAAACCTTTATTAATCAAAAGTAAACGGTTAAACAACTTTGTATGACAGGGAAACCTTGTTACGGTGAAATGAAAATAATCATGGTTCAAATATTTGAGTCTTTCAATTAAGTCTGGTTGAAATTTTAATTCAAATATGCATTTATAGCCTTTAATTTGATCACAACATCACCATGTAAGTGTATGCTTATCTATGTCTGATTTTTGATCTTTGTATTCTGATGATTGATTGGTTTTTAAATGTGTCACCAAAGAGATACTCAGTCTAAATGAAATATCCAGAGGAGGTGGTTGTGTTGCATCACCAGGCAGGTGTGGGCATTCTCACACAGAGTCTGAAGATTAACCTGGTATTCCCCTTAATAAAAGACTTCTCCAACAAACCATATCTGTCTTCTAAGAATGTGACAGAAGGTGAACTCCGTTCTTGAAGAAGACCCTGGGTCTCAGCATCATGGCTCTAACTGACCTTGGCGCATTTAGGGCTTGAAACTTTGCGATCTATAGGGTTAAACCCTATTACCTTCTACAAGCTGGATCCTAAATAATATTTTTCAATCTTTCTAAAACCTCTAAATCTAATGAGTGTTTTTTGCAGGTATGATCCCATATAAACTTGCTAGTTCATGTCTAGCTCCAGTGAAAAAAACATATTTAACTGACCAAGAGCAAACCGGTGGTCCCTTTTTTGTTCAGAGTGACAGTTAAACAGTCCAAACCACCTGGCTTGGTCTCCACGGAAGCTTTGTAACGGAAGCTTTCCACTAATGTGACAATAAACTGAATCCTAGGTACTCTTGATTATCCAGTGACACACGATACAGCGGCTGGTTTGTATCCCACTGCCTCCTCGAGGAGATCTCTCTCAGCTGCCCATTCTCTCTAGTGCTGAGCTCTCCTCAAGCTTCCCCGCTTTAACAGCATGTGTGACTGCAAGGTGTTTTCCCAGCAGCTAAACACACAGTAAGGTCAAACAAATACAGAAAAAAATGCATTCAGTCAAATTATTTACATCCTAAAATGTAGCATTGGTCTAAATGTAATGTTATTCTTGTTAAATTAAACATTCTATACAGTCTTGTTGTATGGACACCAAGTAAGGCAGCATTTTGCGTGCACTTCACATAATGTACATAGAATGTTTTTTTTTTGATAAATAAAATTATCTGTCCTTTCCTGTAACATTCTCCAGTAAGGTTTAGTAATTGGATGGATTATTCGACCATCGGCGATTGGCCAAACTCTTTGGCAATAAGCAATTATTTTTAAAGCCTCACAGATGGGACATTGCAAGCGCCCATGTCAAATCCGCATCATTTTTGCAACACTTCTTCTATGTACACATACATATTACACATAATTTAAAAGCCAGGGTTATTTAAATTTCAACGATATATTTCAAACAAGGATTCAACCATAGGTGTAGAGATAATAAACACATTTGCCTCTTGGAGATTCAAATGAAAGTCGACTGGAATAGAGTAGGGATAGGCAACCCTGGTCCTAGAGAGCTGCAGTCCTGTTTGTTTTCCAACTATCTTTGTTGTTCCTGTTGTTCAGCCAATTAGAAGCTGCAAGTTCATGCATGGCTGGAAAACATGCAGGACTGCAGCTCTCTAAGACCAGGGTTGCCTACCCCTGGAATAGAACCATCTCCAACAGCAATGGTCTTTTTACATCCAGAAGTCCAATTAAAGCACTCCAATAAAATAGTTGGTCTACAACAAGTTTTGTGTTCACAATCCTTTTTTCCCCCCACAACTTGGTTAAGTAAACTCAACATTTTATTTTTTTCGAGTGTATCAAGAGTATAGAAACAGAAGCTTATTGTCATTTTGCACCAGATGATTAAATAAACACAAGTGCTTCACAATCCATCATAATGGACTGCGGAAAACATTCAAAATTTCCCTAAGATGCATCTCATAATCCCCGCTGGCATCCAAACGTTGTCTTCAAACACTTGAGGGACATCTTCCTGACGTAGGTGAAGAGTTACCCACTATCTGCTGGGGCAAAATCGGCAGCTATTGTCTAACTTGTCATAAGTACCCCATTTATTACCATGTGTGTTGCATGAACCAACCTGTTGTTATAGATCAAGATCTCTCCACACTCTGTGGAATGACGTCCAGTTAATGTAATTTTATATCCAAACCTAAAAAAAGATGTGTTCTAAAGCAAATAAGTGTGAGTGTGTGTATATGTGTGTATATTATATACATGTATGTGTGTGTATGTGTGTATGTGTGTATGTATGTATGTATGTATGTATGTATAATTTTATAATATATATATATTTTTTATGTTATATATATGTAAATATGTGTGTGTGTGTGTGTGTGTGTATATATATATATATATATATATATATATATATATATATATATTTGTGTATATATAAATGTGTGTGTATTTTTCGCTTAGACAGACCTTATGTTTTTAAGGTAGTCCATATTCTGTCTTGTAAATTAAGCAGAATTCGCACTCCATTTTAAGCTATGTATCAGCTGGTTCATAGCCTGCAAGTCCTATCCAGATTGAGCAGTGGTTTCAATGCCAAGACGGGAATGTTGTCCGTTATTCCCAGATTATCTGCTAGCACAATGATTAGGGGTATCTGAGGGTTGGAATGTTCTGTTAAGTCTCCAGAAGCTACGTCAATGTTATGAAAGTGGTGAGGCTACAAGACGACAAAAGGTCCTCTAGTAGACACAGCATGTGCTCTAAAAGTAAATAAATGACATAGCAGGGCTGCATTTAGTGGTTAGTATGGCTGCTTTTTGTTTACATTTTTGAGGTCTGTGCAGAAGGTTGCTGTACGTACACTGTCATCACACACGGATTATTGAAAGTTGAACGTGGCTGACAGATATACAGTTGTGGTCAGAAGTTTACATACACTTGTAAAAAATATAATATAATGGCTCTACCGAGTGTCCCATTATTTTTAAAACTCAGATTTTTCTCTGATAGAGTGATTGGAACAGATACATCTTTGTCACAAAAAACATTCATGAAGTTTGGTTCTTTAATGTCTTTATTATGGGCTAACAGAGAAAAGTGATCACATTTGCTGGGTCACAAATATACATACAGCAACATGAACTAGCAATTTTGGTGACTTAGAAACGTGTCAGTGAACTGAGCTTCATAGCATGGCCTCTTAACTTCTTGTGAGTGATTATGAGTGACTACAGCTGGTGACTTCTCTTAGGCCAGGTAAATAGGGCTCATTGGATACAAACGCCCACAAACGCTTCAATGGGAAAGTCAAAGGAGCTCAGCATGGATCTGAAAAAGCGAATTATTGACTTGAACAAGTCAGGAAAGTCACTTGGGGCCATTTCAAAGCAGCTGCAGGTCCCAAGAGCAACAGTGCAAACAATTGTTTGTAAGTATAAGGTGCATGGCACTGTTTCATCACTGCCAAGATCAGGAAGAAAACGCAAGCTATCACCTGCTGCTGAGAGAAAATTGGTCAGGAGGGTAAAGAGTGAACCAAGAATCACCAAAAAGCAGATCTGCCAAGAATTAGAAGCTGCTGGAACACAGGTGTCATTGTCCACAGTCAAACGTGTTTTGCATCTCCATGGACTGAGAGGCTGCCGTGCAAGAAGGAAGCCCTTGCTCCAAAAGCGGCACCTTAAGGCTCAACTGAAGTTTGCTGCTGATCACATGGACAAAGATAAGACCTACTGGAGGAAAGTTCTGTGGTCAGACGAAACGAAAATCGAGCTTTTTGGCCACAATGCCCAGCAATATGTTTGGAGGAGAAAAGGTGAGGCCTTTAACCCCAAGAACACCATGCCTACAGTCAAGCATGGTGGTGGGAATATTATGCTGTGGGGCTGTTTTGCTGCCAATGGAACGGGTGCTTTACAGAGAGTAAATGGGATAATGAAGAAGGAGGATTACCTTCACATTCTTCAACATAACCTAAAATCATCAGCACGAAGGTTGGGTCTTGGGCGCAGTTGGGTTTTCCAACAGGACAATGACCCCAAACACACATCAAAAGTGGTAAAGGAATGGCTAAATCAGGCTAGAATAAGGGTTTTAGAATGGCCTTCCCAAAGTCCTGACTTAAACCCCATTAAAAACATGTGGACAGTGCTGAAGAAACAAGTCCATGTCAGAAAGCCATCAAATTTAACTGAACTTCACCAATTCTGTCAAGAGGAGTGGTCAAAGATTCAACCAGAAGCTTGCCAGAAGCTTGTGGATGGCTACCAAAAGCACCTAATTGAAGTGAAAATGGCTAAGGGACATGTAACCAAATATTAGCACTGCTGTATGTATATTTGTGACCCAGCAAATGTGATCACTTTTCTCTGTTAACCCATAATAAAGACATTAAAGAACCAAACTTCATGAATGTTTTTTGTGACAAAGAAGTATCTGTTCCAATCACTCAGAGAAAAATCAGAGTTTTAGAAATAACGGGACACTCAGTAGAGCCATTATATTATATTTTTTACAAGTGTATGTAAACTTCTGACCACAACTGTATTGGTCTACCCCAAATTCTGAAACCCTATTCGTTTATGCCATTCTCATATCATTTTATAGAAAATTTGCATTACACTAAGATGCATTAATTTTCAATGAGTGTAAATGCAGGACGGTCTGGAGCTCCCTAGTTGGGATGCTGCCCCCACGACCCAGACCCAGATAAGCGGAGGAAGATGACGACGATGTAAATGCAGCTGATACGGGCATCATAGTG